CAGCTCAGCTGCTAGAGCCCAACCGCAGAGGTGGAGCCTGGGCGGGGCTCCCTTTGTGCCAAGAAAACAGCTTCTTCGTGGGGACTGAACCATCCTTCCCTGCCTCGCTAGGGGCTGGTTGCCTCTACTTACCAGAGGCAGGTAAACCTCTCAGGCCTCCTACGGGGAGAGTCAGAGCCTTGCTTCCAACTTCAAGGGCACAACCTGCATTGTTCCCACCACTGAGATGTCCCTGGTCCCCCCCTCACTGCTCACTGCCTGGACCACTCTTCTTACCCTTGAGGCCTGGGGGTGGTTTTTCTAGCGTATCTAAGTGTCTAACGAGCCACAGCTGGTGGTAGCTTCTCCCAGAGCGCCCTGGAAAAGACTGCATCCTCAGGGAAGTTCAAAAATAGGCTGACAGGAAGGCTCAGAGAGAGTAGGGGTGGAAAAGGTAGTGCAGAGGAGAGGAAGAGGAGGGGGAGAGCAGAGAACGAAAGAGAAAGGGCTTCGGGGAGTGACTCCAACGAGCAGAGATAGCATAAGCAAGGGCTTTCCTACTGGCGCGGGGTAAACTGAGGCTCTGCCCCTGAGCTCTTCCTTCGTGGGGGCGGGGAGGGGGCTCAGCTCCCAAGAAGTTGGGGTTGGGGCAAGGCCAGGGGTTGAGCTTGCACCAAGCCAGGGGTCCTTTACTTTTTGTGTCGTCGCCCCCTTTGGAAGCCTGTGGACGCATTCTCAGCAAAACATCTGTACAGAAAATTAAGTTCATAGGATTATAAAAGAAACCAGCTGTATTGAAATGCAAGCATCGACCTCTTTTTTAAAAAAGTTAATATATGTGCCTTTCTATCAACACGTCAAATAACAAAATCAAGTGGCAGGTCTAACAAATACCACGATTTCATAGTAGTGATGAGCTCAGGCGATATTTCAGGAATATCATGGTTACAGTATTATGAAAATATCTGTGATCTCTGCTGGAGATAAAGTCACAGGCATAACCGACAGCGCTGCGGTCTGGGGCCCTCGTTTGTAACTGGCGGAAATATTGCATCTCAGTTAAAGTTAGTGGAAATAGAGATGGGTCTTTTTTTCCAATCTGAGTTCATAAACCTCTAAATCCTCCCTGTGGGCCCCAGGGCAAGAATCCCCATGCTGAGGGACAGACAGTCACAGACCAGGATGAACCGAATTCTTGCACCTACACGAACATGACCTTATTTGATCTCCACAGTAACCACAGTAACTTGAAGTAGGTACCCTTATTACTCCATGCTACAGACGGGGAAACTGAGGCTAGGAGCATTGAAGGTGACTTGGACATGGGCAGCTGTGGCAGGGAGGGGAAGGCTGCAAGGAATTGAAATCAGATTTTCTCTGCCGAAGCCTGCACTTCCCCAACACCAGCCTCATCTGCATTGGCGATCAACCAAGGGACCGTTTATTGTATGGTCCCTGCCCAGTCACAGCTGTGTCCCTCCAGACAGAGGGACTGCAGCACTGGGCATGCCCCTCAGCAGTATCGAGACTGCGTGTCTCTGTTTCAGTCCCTCTCGCGAACGTAGGCTCCCTGAGGGAGCCACAGCAATGAGCGCAGAGCACCGTGCAGGCACACTGCACACTCCCATCTGTGTCTGCTGAGTCATGAGCCAGTCAGAACTCAGGCCTGGCCCTTTAGTCTTCAGACCCCAGCCCGGCCCAGCACAAGCCACTGTTTGTTCCCTCAACACCCACAACCAGCTGTGAGAAATGCCACAGCGCTATTAAGGGGTAAAATATGAACTGTGGGCAGGGCTGAAGAACAAGGCAAGCCCACCAGGAAGAGTGAATTGAGAAGGCTTCCTGCAAAAAGTGAGTTTTGAGCTCGATTTTTTCCAACTTTTAAATTATGACTACACTCAAATATGCAGAAAAGTTGGAAGAATAGTGCAATAAATCCCATAAGTTGCCACTAGTTAAAACAATTGTTAATATTCTGCTGTATTTGCCCTATCTGTATGTCTGCGTGTGTGTGTGTGTGTGCGCGCGCGCACATATATGTAACATTTTCTGAAGGATTTGAATATAAGACATTGCAGATATCATAACACTTCAGCCAGGAACACTGCAGCATCACCTCTTAAGATGGGCTATTTGTCAATATTCCCCTATAACCATAAAACTATTTTTTAAACCTAAGATAACCAACATTTTTTTAACCTTCAGCTCATATTCAAATTTCCTCAAATGTCCTAATTTTTTAAAAACAAGTATTCAGTCCATGCATTGGGGGCAGATCGTAGGTGCTGCTGACTGAATGGGAAGCAGGCATTCCTCAGGGGAAAGTTCCAGAGTCGCCATGGTGCTTGCTGCCATGGCCCAGCAGTGAGCAGGAGTGTGAGGGGTCTTGAAGGCTACACTGGGGAGGTGGGCTCTGCCACGGGGGTTAATCCAGAGAGAGGGAGCAGAATACCAACTATGCAGAGCACCTAGTGACCACTTTTGCTGTTGAGATGAATCTCTGGGCATCTTTATCAGACCACACCTGCCATCACCTTGTTCCCCAGATGCTCGGTGACAACACAGACTCACACTGGGTCTCAGCTGGGTCGGGTGCTGGGGAGGCCCTGGAATAAGCCAGCCTCCTCAGGCATCTATCTGGCCAGCCCGCCTCTCTCCCTCCCTCCATCTCCCCCTCCCTCCCTTGCCTTTAAGAACTTAATCAGACCTCCTGAAGAGCCTCCTGGGAGAGCAGCTGGCACCAGACAGAAATAGCCCTGCGGAAACCCTGTCTCTGCCGAAGCCTCCAGCTCTGGGGAGTGTCGGAGGTGAGGAGAGTGGGGAGCCGGGGAGAGAAAATTCAGAACACACCCCTGGCCCCATGAGACCCCACCGCCTGGGCCAGAGGAGCAAAAAGCCCAGCAACCCAGGACCCAGGTGGGATCACGCAGCTCCTGTCATCTGACGCGGGCTGAGCACCTGTCTCTAGAGGCCAGCTCAGGTCAGGGGCACGAGAGTTGAACCTTGGGAAGAGGGTTGCTGGCCCTGGGCTACACTCTGGCTTTCTTCCGGCTGAGTCCCGCCTGTGGTGAGGAGTCTGGGGGATTAGGGAGACATGCCCGCCCTGATGTCACTTCTCCTCTAGATCAGGCCTTAGGTACCGAGATCCAGAACTCCCTGCCCAGGCAGGCACCCACCCGCTTCTGGAGCCTGAGCAGGCCTCCTCCACGGGCCCGGTCTCCCAAGGGTGAGCGACATCAGCAGTGAGAACAGCCCCTTTGCCCCTGGGGGGCAAAGAAGTGGCTGTTGGTAGGCGTGTGGATGGGCCTTGGAAATGAAGGCTGGGGTGTCCACACATGTTTGCAAGGCCCCTCATGGCATGAGAAGAGAAGGGGGACAGACAGAGCTGGGAGCTGGCTCCAGCCATGCCACTGTGAGGAACTGGTTCACGTCTCCATGGTTAAGTAGACATTTTGACTTGTGCCACTCCAGAAAGCTCCTGCTACCCCATGATAATTTTCCCATTTGCGTCTGATTCTTCAGCATTAACAGTTTATTTCTGTGGGCTAAGCATTATGGGTGCAGGGTGGTGGGAGGGCCGCCTCAAAATGTGTATGTGCTCAAGAGGCGACCCATGTCTCACGCCATGTTGTTGAGACTGAGTTCGTTGAATCTCCTTTCACTGAACAGGAGAGTCTAGGCAGGAAGAGGCCCACGGGTGCGTGGAAGGGGGCGTGCCCTGGAAGGAAGAGGCGCAGAAAAGGGAGGTGGGGCACCTCAAAGACCAATTCAGGTTTTAGCCCAGGGATAGTACTTACTATCACTACTGTCAGAGGCACAAACCCACTTCTGATGAGGAGCGGGCATGCCTGAGATGGCAGCTCATTCACCCATCCATCCATCCATCCATTCATCCATTCAACCATTCATTCGTTCATCTAGTCAGTCAGTCATTCACCGCACCTGTATTTAGCAGGACCCTGTGGGAATATGCTGCTGAGTTAGGTCCCTTCTGTCACACCTGATGCTCCTCGCACACGTCTCACCTTGTAGCACGTCTGGGTCCTCCACCTGGGACACCATCTCCATCGGTCCATGTGTCTGAAGCCTGCACTCGCCACCCTTCAGCCTGCTCTCGTCCACAAAGCCTTCGGTGGCTCCTTTCATCATCTAGGGTCACTCCTTCCCTCCCCCCATCAACATGGACTCTACGCTTCACCCGTCATGTTTACCTGTTTCCACTGAAGTTATGGTTTTTACTCACCGTATCCTGTGTCTGCTAGAGAATAGGGTTCCCAAGGTGCTTTCCCATTTCGTTCCTCCCCAGGTGTATACACAGTGCTCGATTAATGCTTCTGAATGAATAAATGAGGAATAAATGAATGAATGGATGGTGGGTAAGTTGTGTCTTTTGCAGGATGATGTCAACCCCATACAATTGTAAGCTTCCTTCTGCAATAGGCTGGGAGCATTTAGAAACTTAGGGTATTTCCCTGTTAGGCTGACATGGGATGTAGGCATCTGTCCTGTCTGTCTGCATTTTTCTCCCCTTTACGCCACAGGGTAAAAGCTGCCTTCTGAATTCCTACTAACTTCAAATAAAGAAGGAAGCATACTGTGTATGGCTGAGCACATACACAGGCCCTCTGGCTCCAGTCCTGGTATGGCCGAGCACATACACAGTATGCTTCCTGCTTTATTTGAAGTTAGTAGGAATTCAGAAGGCAGCTTCTCTGGGCTTAATCATTTGGGTGCTTTAGGGGTTGTTATCACCACGAGAGTATCTTACTTTTATGTGGTGCACCCCAAGCTTATTCACAACTGTTTCTCACAACCCCATCTTGTCTTCCAGAATTAGAAATGATTGCTCAGAGAGGTTAAGCGACTTACTCGAGGCCGCCCAGCTCTGAGGACGGAGCAGGGCTTCTCACTCAGGGGGCCCAGCTCTTCTCCCTCTCCCTGGTTTTGCCCATCCTAACTGACAGAAGAGCCCAAGGAAGACCCACGCACTCTGCCCTGTCTCAGCAGGGCCTGGCGGGGCCATGTCCCTCATCCCGTGGCTCCGGTGGACCGAGGCCTCTCCACGGCTGTCATCCCGGAGCCCAGCTGAGATGGTGCTGGAGACACTCATGATGGAGCTGGTGGGGCAGATGCGAGAGGCCGAGAGGCAGCAGCGGGACCGCAGCAACGCGGTCAGGAAGATCTGTACCGGAGTGGACTACAGTTGGCTGGCCAGCACGCCCCGGCCCACCTATGACCTCAGCCCTGGTGAGCGGCTGCAGCTGGAGGACGTCTGTGCCAAGATCCACCCTTCCTACTGTGGGCCAGCCATCCTCAGGTAACGCCTGGCATTGGCACAGGGCCCCGCTGTTGGGCTGCAGGTTCCAGGGGGAGAGTGGCTGCAATGGTGGGACCCGAGGTTACCAGGACTGGAGCCAGGGGGCCTGGATGACCTGGTCATCTGTCAGAAGGAACAAGGCAGGAGGAGGAATCTGAACGAGGCCATGGTGCACTAGGCCGGGCTGGGGGCGCAGGGGAGGAAGCGGGTGGCTCCTGGAGGCACACGAGTTTAGGGAGGAGAGCACCCCAGGCCTTTGAGCCTTCTGATCTCCAAGTCCAGATTGTTATTATCCTGGATTTTAATGTAACTAGCTTTCTCCTTCATCATTTCATCTTCTATGCTACCTTCTTAGAGAGGTTTTCCCAGATAACCATGATCTTATTTCACATTAGCTTGCCTAACAGGGGTGTGTGTGTGTGTGTGTGTGTGTGTGTGTGTGTGTGAAGGGTTCAGAGTCCTGGGGCACTGAACATTAGAAGCCTGGGGACAATGATATTCCCGAACATAAGTATAACCTTACTAAAGCTGTGGCCTGCACAGTCCACTCTCAGCTGGATCCACGCCGAAGTCAGAAGCGTAGTCCAACAACCAAAAATAACTTCACTCAAAGATAACACAAGTTCTTCATCTGTATTTCTCAAAATACATTATAAAGAAATACAGATCCATAGTAAAACACCTTAAAACCCCTGTTAGCCTCCCCAAATCTTCCTTCACACGTCTCTTTGATCAATGTTCATATCTATTGTACCGTTTTTCTTTGAAATTCTCCTTAAAAAACTCCTCCTTCTCCGGTCCTCGCCACTCCTTTGGATTGGGTAGTCTTCTGATCCCCAGTCCCTCTTTCCTCCTCCAGGCTGAGAATCTTACCCTCCCCCATTTCTCTCAGTCTGTATGGTGGAAATCTCCCTGCCCCCCACAAACGGATCTAGTTCCAGGGAACCCTGGAGACAGGGGTGGGTGAGTCATGCGTGTGCAGGTGAAAGAATCCAGGCTGGCACACCACACTTCAGACATGGCGGGGAGGCTGAGGACACACATGGTAATGATTGTCCTGTCACATTTTCTGCCTCATGTCACTGTGGAGAAGTTTGAGAAGTCCTGACTCTCCGTATGGGGGAGGGACTCGTGTAGTAAATGGACTTGCTAACTACTGCTTATTCTTGAGCTCTAGCAAAGACATTTTAGGCAGAGGAACCAGCTTGGGAAAGCTCACAGGGGAGCCAGGAGCCAGGAGAACCTGGGGCTATGACGACCACATGTGACCTTCCCAGCCGGAGTGCAGACAGTGGAAGTACAAGACCAAACAGTTCACCCTCGCCTAGAAGGTGGCGGGGGCTATGGAAGGAACATCACAGGGCAGCGACCAAATCATATATACATTTCAGAGAGACCACTCAGGCCAGTGGGTGGAGAAGAGTGGGCGAGGGTCAGCCAGACAGCCTCGCAGCAGTGGGAGGTGGTAGCAGGGGGCTCCCTCACTGCGCCTGCATGAATAATCCCAGGTAAGTGCCAGCATCTTTGCATATGTTAGCTCGTTAAACCTCACGGAAAGGTGGCCGTGATCCCAGTTTACAGATGAGGAAGCTGAGGCTTATAGAGGCGGAGCTGGAATTCGAACTCGAGATGGGCTGAAGCAATAGGAAGGTGGAGGGCTCCTGATTCACTTCAGGTGAAGTGGGGAAGTGGAGGACGTGGAAACTGACATTGGAAGGTGCACACAGAAGCCTCGGAGGTGGGCCACGAGCCATCCAGGTGACGGCCCTCGCGTCCTGCGCTCCCAGGTTCCGGCAGCTGATGGCCGAGCAGGAGCCGCAGGTGCACGAGGTGGCCCAGCTCTTCCGCTCGGTGCTGCAGGAAGTCCTGGAGAGGATGAAGCAGGAGCAGGAGGCCCACAAGCTGACCCGCCAGTGGAGCCTGCGGCCTCGCGGCAGCCTGGCTTTAACCACCTTCAAGACGCGCGCTCGCATCTCCCCCTTCGCCAGCGACATCCGGACCATCTCGGAGGACGTGGAGCGGGACACTCGGCCGCCGCCCCGGACCTGGAGCATGCCCGAGTTCCGGGCGCTCAAAGAGGACTGACCCGCCCTCCCCTGCCCAGGGGCAGAGCCACCTGTGGGAGGTCATGAGAGGACTGTGACCATCCCCCGGTCCTGGAACCTCCCCACCTGCCCCCGACAAGGGGTCCAAATCGGGCCCCATCTTTAGACACTCCTGAAAGATGGTGCGACCTCTCCCCGCCCACACTCTCCCACTGACCACAAGGCCCAGAGTCAGGGCTGGGAGCTGCATCGAGGCGGTGGGGGCTCTGCCTCCCCTGCGCCCACCGACCAGAACAGCCCCTTCCTGCCCCGCAGAGATTCGGGGTCTTGGCAGACAGAAAGCAGCCCATCCCTGTGCTCTGCTTCTGCCCGGAGTGGGAAGAGTTGCTCTGCCTTTTTGCCAAGACCTGAGTTCTCATCCCAACTTCAGGGTTGTCACATTCACCCCATCTCCTGGGTAAAAGATGAGGGACCTGTTGGGTGGTGTCCATTCTCTGCTGGTGACTGGCTGGTCTCACCACTGCAGGTGAGTCACGGCCTCATGGGCGAGCAGAGCGGGAAGGGACCACGGAGAAGGCTAGGTCCATGACTAGTGAGTAAGGAAACAGGCTCAGAGAGGGCCAGGCTCCTTCCACCTTACACCGCACTCAGGTACCCATGGGCAGGGAGGGCGTTCCTGTTACACAGTCTCTGTCCCTGAGTCCTTGAGTCTTGGGCTGTGATGGGATAGGTCCAAGGGCTTTGGAGGCACCTGCCTATCATCTGACCCATCTCTTACCTTGGCATTGGTGCGGGGTCTAAGCTCCTCTCCAAGAAAGGTCACTGGGTGTGGAGGTAGGTTGCCGTCATCCCACCCCACAAAGTCACCTGGGAAGTGGCCGGTCTCCAGTAGCTCCTTCCAGAGACAAAGCTTCAAGGCCTTCCAACTCACTGCTCTGAGGAGCCGAGGTCTCTGATTCCAGGGTCCCTTTCCTTGGCTTTCCCCAAGGAAAGTGATGCCCAAAGCCCTAACACTTAGAGGCATCTAAGTGAAATGTTCTAGAAGAACCTCCCTATAGGCTCACTGTCCTTCTGTTTCTAACACAGACCTTGATGATGGCCATGTGGCTTCTCCAATGTGTGGATCACCTGTGGTGACTCTGGAAGGCCAGGTGGCCTCCTTACACACTCCAGGCTGAAGTAGGGGATGGGGGATGGGTGGGGAAAGTGTCTGCTCCCAACTACCCATGCACACTCAGAAAATGCAAGTGGATCTTAATATTAATGTAAATAAAATGCCAGGAGGAGATAAGTCAGCAAGGGGAAAGTCTACACATTCCATGAGCAAGCTCAGTGAAAAAATATTTTTAATGATCTGATTTTGGGTTATTTTCACTCAAATCTAGACAGAGAATCATAAGATAGTAGAAAACCTCTCATCAATCACTGTCAAGATCGAGTCAATTGGCTTATTCAAATAATTGGTAAAAGTTGAGAATGACTTCAATAAAAACATATACCTTAAATATCTTATGTTAAGACAATAAAAAGTTCATTCAATTGCCAAACTTTTAACGTAGGTCCAAACTGTTATTTTTTGTGACATGCATGGGTTGTGTGATGGGAGTTTTATTCGCTTGTGTGTACTTTCATCGTAACGATAATAACAACTGGCATAAACAAATTTTTAAACAAACAAGTGATCCTTGGTAAACAGACAACTCAGTTGGTAGGGGCAGAAGTGTTGGGGGTGCGTTGGAAAAGGGTCTATTAGCCGTGAGCTTTCTGGGTGCTCTGGATGTGGGCTAGCATGTGTCAGGGTCAACCTCGGTGTATGGGGGGAGGAGGCGGCGTGTTTCGAGGAGGTCAGTGAAGGGAATGTCTACTGTTTTCCTTCTTATTCTCTCCAAAGAAAAGGAAGACCCGAGACTCCCAATGTCATGGGTTTTTGTTTTTTTTTTTAAGTTGAAGTAACTGGCTGCCTGCCCATGAAAGCCTCCCCTGCCCACCTTGGTCAAGGCAGACAGAACCCACCAGTCTCAGACGTTGGTTGTCCCACTGCAGCGAATCTCAACTGGTGGCACTCGAACCTGTAAGAAGTTGCTCCCCTGGATTCAGGTTGTTAAAGAGAATAACGACGTCTGCCTCAATTTCTAGCTTAAAAACTCAATAACAAATAAGAGAACAAAACAGTTTTGAGGCTCCTTGTGAGTGTGTGATAGCAGCTAATGAATGGCAGTAGGAAGGGACGGGTTGAGCTTGCTCAAGACCTGAAGGGCCTTCTGCTTGCACGCGGCTCATGCCACTACCCACTAGAGGGAGCCAATGGGGGTCAGATCACTCAGTGGGTGCATTTTATTTCTTTTTTTTTTTTTAACCTATGAACATTTTCAAACACAGAAAAATAGAGGGAAGGGTGTAAGGATCCCCCATGTTATCACCAGGGTTTAATAGTTATTAACATTTTGCTGTATTCGTTTTACCCATTGTTTTGTGTGAAATATTAAAAATATATCTGTCATCATGACATTTCACCCTGAATATGTCAGTATGCACAGCAAATAAGGAGCTTTCCTCTATCAGTACAATGCAATACTATCACTCTCAGTGAAATTAACAGTAATTCCTCAATGTCATCTAATATTCAGTCCATATTCAAATTTCTCTATTCCTGACAAATGATTTTTGCAGTTTATTTCTTAAATTAATTTCTTAAATTAATGACCACACAAATAATAACAATTCTGCAAATTAGGACAAGGATGCTCTTTACTGAAATCCTTGTTATGTTCTATTATAATATTAATAATATTATACATAATATAATATTAACATATTATTAAAATTATTTAATAGCACCCAAAATTCTCTAATACCTTAAATGTTAAAAATGTTAAAAATAAAGACAATATATCTAATTTGACTTTTCATTTGATTAAAATATTGTCCACATTCATGTGTTTTATTTTCTGTACCATGTTTGCAAATAGACACCTAAAACCTTCTTTTTCCTGCCACTTAGAAACAAAACACTAAAATGTATCAAAATAACTTGGGAGGAATCTCAAGAATTCTAATAGTAGGTAGTAAAAATTATGTCTTTTTTTGACGCTATCAACACATAGTGAAATTTCAGTCTGTCTTAATATTCATATGGCTTCCTACCAAAACATGATATGTTATTTCAAAATTTATTCATCAATAAATCATTTTTAGAGTTATTTTAAATTAACACCTTGCGTCGTTTTTTAAATAGGGAAATTGGCAGCTGTCTCTTTTTGTGGATATTATTACATATTGCATTAAATTAGCATATTATATTTAGTAAGGTGCTAATCTAAAAGTAAAAACATTGACTAAATATTGTGACTATCATTTTCCAGGGAAAAATTTAAAAATGATTTTTTCAAGCTTCTAAGTATGTCCAAGAGTTTTTATGTTACTGAGAAAGGCATTCACAAGCCAACAGAGGTTGCCGCGTTTCCGGTACGCTTGACTGTGTTGCATTCCAGTTTCGAAGTCCCTTGCTGGAACAAATGCAAGTTCTCTAGCCCAGGCTCCCTGCTCAACTAGGATTTGGCATAGAGAGAATTCCATTCCAAGAACAAGCTGTTCCTTCCATTGTGAGCTGAGTCCTGAAGCTAAGGGCACAGAAGCTGCTTCTAGTAGCTCCTCTGGGCTGTGGGGCTCTGCTCAGCTCTAAGTGTCCAGTCTCCAAAACACAGGGTGAGGGGGATCTTGTTGAGGTTAGCCTCTCCTTAGTAGAAAAGAAATCGAGTCACTAGGCAAAGCTGCTCCAAAGCACAAAAGAGATGGGAAAAATACATCTTTTTATCCAAACAATCCAGTGCAACAAGATTGCTGTAAACAGAAGTGGCTTTGTCATCAAGAAAATTCTTTTTATTAACATCTGAATGGTCCTTTACAGTTTACAAAATGCTTTCGCCCACATCGTCTCCTTTGATCTTGACCCTGAGGTGAGGTACATTATGTTTTGTCTCAAGTTACAAGCAAGTACCCCGGCTGGACTTGGAAGCCAGGGTTCTTTCCACAGGCGGCACTGCTTCTCAGAGTTGTAGAACTTTCTGTGCTCTCAGATGCTCACTACCCAAAAAAAGTCCTCATCACTGTACTTATCACACAGTGATGTTAATGTACCGGGTTTTCTGTTCACTGCTGCCTCCTTCCCAACCATTCCACTGCTTCCGATTGTTTGTGAGATCCTTAAGTGCAGGAACCAGGTCTATGATCTCTGGGTCTCTACCTTCTGGGCACACAGTAGGTACTTTACAAATAAGCTGAAGGAATGGGTGCCTATGGACACCAGCTTGGAGACACTTCTTAGCATTTTGACCTTCCTATAAACAGGTTCTCTGTGGAGAGAGAGGTGATAAGACTCTAGAAATAGTGTACTTTCCCTGTATTCAGACCCAGACCAACTCTGGTCAGGGCAGGTAATCGTAAATGCTTAAATTAATTCTTTCTGGGACACAGAAGGCGACACAGAAACCAATGACCAGGAACATTCCCTTAAGGGAAGCCACAGAGTGCCACACAATCCAATCAACTCCATCAGGTTACAGAGATAGGGGTGAGTGTATGATTCGCCCCCTTTGGTGAGATCTTGATTTCGTCTGAAGGCGAGGCCTGGGTGGTGCGCAGAGGTAGTGGGGCACAGCTGGGGCCCTTGATAACTTTTGCTCTTCAGGGCAGACATTCATCCTGAAACTGAGAGCAGGGGATTAGGCGACAGCTTGCGTGTGCCTCATTTTATGCAAAGAGATTTTGTAGAATCTGTATTCTTGAAAGGAATGGTTCTTTGCCTGACAAAATGGTTCCCCATGAAATTCCTTAAACTGTAAGTACTGAAAATAAGATTTAGTTTACAAAGAATTAAAGTATACACAAACTTTTGAGGAACAAATCTCTTGTCAAAAGACACGTACACCTCTTGGGAGATTCCTAGAATCCTGGAACCAGAACAAACCTCCAGAGCGCAGCCTGGCCCTAGCCTGCAAGACTCACTCAATCAACACTTATTAACATCCACTGTATACAGAGCTCCACATCAAGACTCATAAGCACACTGTAAATTTATTACAATTGCAAAATTGGAGGGTTTACCCATTTGGGGTAAGAGGCTAGAGATATGCCGTAATATTAAATCAGTTTTAGTTGTTGATAGGAGAAACACAGAGCTGGTAGAAGTATGTGACCTCTAGGGCAGGCTTCATGGGTGCATGACCTATGTGTCACACAGGGCCCCGTGCTCAGAAAGGCCCCATACTTGGTTTAATGCTACACCATTACCATCTTGAAATTCTTAACTTTTTAACAAGGAGCTCCAAATTTAATTTTGCACTTATGTAGTTGCAAATTATGTAGCTGATCGTGATGGCACCCATAACTGGGAAGTCCAGAGCTGTTACTGACCTAAAAAGTTCATTTATACAGTAGAATGTACTGTCTCGTTCTCCCCTTCTCCTCCCCTTCCTTCTCCTCTTCCCCTCCTAATCTCCCCTCCTCTTTCTTCTCTCTCTCTCCCTCTCCCTCTCTCCACCTCCTGGCTCTGCCTCCCACTGTGTGGTTTTTACTTGTCCTCCCTATGGTCATACTCCCTCTCTGCAGCCAAGAAAGTTGGCTGCTGGTGCTCCAGGCAGACCCCGGTTCAACACCCCCAATATCTATATACTAGTCCCAGGGTAAGGCCTTGTGGCGAAGCATGGCTAACTATTCACTAAACCTGCTTCTTCCTTTTCCTGGCATCAGTTGGAATTTCTGGCCTCCCCTGCCTCAGGACTAGCCACGTGAATGAATCTGGTCAATGGACTATGAAAGGCTCCACCTCCAGCTTGGCCCATAAACACTTCTCAAAAGTGATGTAATTTACCCCCTACACACACACACACACACACACACACACACACACACACACACACACTGTACAATGAGCAGGGACAGAGCTAAGTTTTATGAGACCTAAAGCTTATGCAATTTAGAGGGCCCACAAAGAAAAAAAAATACAAAATTAGGGACTATGTGAATATGTTTAGAATAACAGAAATCACAAATTACGAATTTTATAACTTGACAAATAGCACAAATATCACGAAATCCAGAAAAATAACATTGTATTTTTATTAACTGCTTAATATATCTCTATATTATTTTTTCTACTTTTTTTTAGGGAGGAATATAATTTCTTTGACTGTCACTTCACAATAAAATAATTTTGTGATATCTTTTTTTGTACAGAGAATTGAAAGATAATTCAGTCTTTCCTTTAATCTTGGTTAATCAAAATGTTTCTTTAAATGATAGTGTGCAAAGTCTTCAGCCATGCTACCCTGAACGAGCCCAAACCCATCTGATCTCGGAAGCTAAGCAGAATCGGGCCTGGTTAGTACTTGGATGGGAGACCACCTAGGAAGACCAGGTGCTGTAGGTGTAAAAAAATAAATAAATAAATAATGAATTGTAAGCTGACAAGGTCCTTGCAATCTGTGAGGTCAATCAAGGGTTGCCTCGCCTAAAAAAATAAACAAACAAAACAAATAAATAAAATGATAGCATGCAAAATAAACAAATGTGTCTTCAGAGCTACGCTAGCTGTAGCTCTGCTGTAAGTCTGTGCTCTACATAAAAAAGAATTCTGATAAATTCTATTTTATATGGTTTCCATCAGCAAACAAACAAGCATTTGTAATTGTATATGCTGCATTATCAAGTATATCGTTTGTGGAGAGAATATTTTTGATAGATAAAAGTGGAATTGTCTAACAATTTTACATATCTGATTATTGGGCATTTTCCATAGACTACTCTCTGGCTCCATATATTTCAAACTTTGTTTTTCCTCTAATACATACTTAACTTCCGGCACCAGGCACCCACCCTAAGACACATCCATACTGTAGTAAGACCTCTGGCCCTGTGCCTTGGTGTTACAAAGCACAGGAGACAGAGACCGTGGAAGCCCAGGGCTAAGGACCGCCCCTGGGCCTTGGTGTTACAAAGCGTAGGAGACCCAGACCGTGGAAGCCCAGGGCTAAGGACCGCCCCTGGGCCTTGGCAGGGCCCTGGCTTAAGCCTCATCAGCTTCCTGGTACTTCAGCCTCTGCTGATGAGGAGATAGAGAGGAAAAGTCTGTAGGGACAGGCGTGGTCTCCTGACTGCAGGCCACAGTTTTTTCTATTTTAAAGTCTCTTTTTATATTCTTTTCATTAAAACTACCTCTTGCTATCAGATGGGTACTACACTTACTGGAGTGATCACTTCATAAGTTATATAAATGTCTAATCACTATGTTGTACATCTGAAACCAATATAGTATAGTATGTCAACTGTGATAAAAGAAAAACAAAAACTATCTCTTGCTTTTCTGAAAATTTTTTACATGCGTCCATAAATTTAACTTTTATCCTACAAAGCATTATAGTTCTCTGGAATCAGGCTTTAAAAAATAATTTGACCCATCAGAAACACTATCCATACGGGTAAACGCAGGCTTGGACTTAGGAGAGTGCAGAGAAGTGACACACGACCTCAGACCTCCATCACACCACTTCTATTGGTCTCTCCTTCAGAAACCACGTGTGCTATTTTAACTAACCTAAGATTAAAACAAAGTTTTGAAAAAAACTTTAATGTCTAATGTCTATATTTTATATTTTATTTTACGCTTTTGAAGAGACCATGGCTCTCTCACAATTATGAATATCAGTTTTCCTGTAAAAAAGAAAACAGTTCTTTCGTAAATTAAAATGCCTTTATTTCTTCAATAAATTAAACAAAAAAATCTGTGTTCTCTGCTAGTACATTTCAGAAATGTCATCATTTCAAATATAAGGAAATAACTTTCTTGATACACAAATACTAGAAGCCCAAGACAATATAGGGGGAGGGATGATATATAGTCATGTGTTAAATCTCTCTGTAATCAAAGATAAAGATGCTTAATTTAAGTACAATCCTATTATAATTTTGCTTTGAGTTATTATTACTGGAGAAAAAACTCTTTAATGAATTGAATTCAGTAACAATACTACTGTATAGCAATATGAATAACATCTTAAACTCTAACTTCAATACAGAACGGTATTCAAGATTAAGTTCTTTTGCCTGAATAACAACATAACACTGCCTTTACTTCCAATTCAAAAAAACCTACCCTCTCTTCCCTCATTCACTTCTAACCAGACCTTCAAATTCGTGGTTAGATTGGATACATTGTCATCCATAAGCCCAAATGAGCAAAAAGCCTGACAATGTATCAAATCGTAAGAGACAACATGAAAGGCTGATCTGGGGAACTGCTCTCTCCTTTCTTATTTTATAAAACAATGTGATCATTTTTAGAGAAGGGAAAACTTTTGGTTGAAAACATAACCATAGTATCTAGAGCAACAAGAGTAAAAGAACATTATATCATGCTCCAAAACAAATACTGAGATTATGAAAACTGACACTTGCTGAAAGAAGGGGAGATTACTGAAAAACTGTAACATAAAACTTGGGAAGAAGAGCTAAATAAGAAGTGCATGGAAAAGCCTTTACTTTTTTCATACCATCTGTAAGTCTTCTGCTTTGCGTAGGACTTTGGTATGAGCATTTTAGATGAAATTATTAGGTGTAACATTCAAGAAAAAGACTCAATCTCTTCCTTCCCTGGCAAATATTTGAATACACGATGAACATCCTAACGTTGCCACAACTGGCTTGTACTTCAGGCTCTCAAATATTGGATGCAGACCAGTAAATAAAATGTGATCTCCGAACTCTTTACTGTGTGGTTACGGAGGATGTGAAGCTTGGTCTCAGCGGTCTAGACACGATGTGAATGACATCCCATTCCTGAGCCCTCCGATGTTTCTGTAGGTTCCACAGGGCTGGGCTCTGCATCCTCGTTTGGCCACCTTGCCCCAAAAGGCTAAGTTTCGGAAATCAAGAAAGTCAGCTTGGTTTCAGACCCTTTGCAGATAAAAATTAAAATTGATTAGAATAAATTCACTACTTGCTCTATTATATATACTTACACTTTTCTTGATACTTAGAGTAGAAAACAGAAACTTTGGACATCATTGTGCTAAGATGAGAGCATATTAAACCTTGAAAAATAAGTTAAATTTACACTGGAGCTTTACTTCAAACTCATAATACATAGTCATTAAATTTTAATAATATAATTAATCGTCAAGTTTTATCATCAGATTAAATGTTTTATATATAATAGCTTTATTTCATCAACTCCATTTCCTATGGCCTAAAATATGGAAGAAAAAAAATGCACCTATGAAAATCTAAATTTCAAATGATGAGTTAGTTTACTCTAGGTCTACAGAAAAAAAAACTCACAAATAAGAATTTATAAAGAATGAGCAGAAATGAATGGCAATGGAAATAACTGATAGTAAATTTCCTGGATTTGCAAATTTCGGGTACTTATTTTGAACGTTAGAATATTCAGCAACTTCCAACCTTAAATTATTTCAAATCAATCAAGCACTAAATGTAAGTTTTGCATAAATTTTATTAGGAGTGAAGCTTATTAGAGAGTTTCTAAGTCTACAAAAATAAAATCCAATGCCAATTGCCAGTTAAAATTTTAGAGTTTTTTAAAAAATTCTTTTGTTTAGCCATATATTGTCTGTTTTTAAATTTTTAATTAAATTTTACTGAGATATAATTGATAGAACTATCTTTGATTGAATAATTGACCATATATTTTAGTGAGATACAACAGATTATAATAGATATAATACTTTGGCTATATGAAATGGTAATTCCTATTGTCTAGCCATTTAACGTTTTAAAAAAAATTAATTTTATTTACTCTCACTATACTATAGTTTTTGTCTTCTCAGGAACAAATAGAACCTTACTCTGTGATGTTTAGCACACAAGCGTGTTTATTCTTCAGCCTGGCTCCCATTACCCAGCAGTATCTGACGCCACCATGCTGTTAACTCTGCTGCCTGGACTGCCAGACCCCACCCTCAGCTGGGCTAACGGTGAGAGGTTGGTGTGCCCTTGTAACCAGTTAACCTGGTCCAGTGCAATGGGAAAGGGGAAGAGACCCCAACCCTGCAGGCTGCCCAGACTAAAGCTGGGGACCAGCAGAAGCTTCAACTCTGAGTAAGTCCAGAGTGTTCATGAATACAGTTATTCAAAACGTAAAGATAAAGTTAAAGTGATAACTGCATGCCCTTTTAATGTCACACTAGAGCACTGTTTAAGGTGGCTGCCTGGCAGTCATCCAGCTGTCCAGAAACTGTAACTTTGACACAGTATTTACTATGGATTAGAGCTCACACATCAATATAATATATAACTCGTTACAGCTGGAAGCTAACTTAAAGAAAATATAGACGAATTGCAATGATTTTATTTTCTATTCAGTAGAAAGGATAACCTTGATTTTATTGCCCTGTAATAAAATCTTCAATCAGTTTAATATCAAATTTAACAATCTTATCTCAGCATTTCTTTTTTCCACCACCATCTCTATTTACTATTTAAAAAATCTGTTTTTTGAACCAGCTTTGTCATCTTGCTGATTCCCTAATAAAGGAGTTAAATAAAACTTTGGCATATGCCCCTAATCTATTTTATGGGAATTATGTTTTTTAACATTATAAGTATGCTAGGGACTTTTGCTTCACATCACTGGACAAAATTGTGCCAAATGGCCATTCTTAGCTACAAGGGAGCCTGGGAATTTGAAGATTCATTTTTTAATTTTTAGGTGAAGGAAGTGAGGTCTTTTAAGAGAGCAAACCTATAGTAACTGTGACTCAGTGAGTGTGTGTGTGGTGGTAATGGTAGGGGAGCGGTGAGAGAGAACTAAGAATCACAAATGATCTCCAGATAATGCCTGGGTTATACATTTATTGAGATGAGGAAGACTGAGAGATAGGTTTGCATTTTATCAATACTAAGCATTGAGAGGTTAAAACTTTATTTTTTATTTTTTGAGATGACATCCAATGATTCACCCCTGTTATGTACAGGGGATTTTAAAGAAATAAAAGTCATTAGCAATTATCTAAATCCTTGTAATAGCTGGTCAGTTGCATAGCAAATTTCAGTCTGTCAATTATATAATTGAGTCTCATTCTAATGAAAAAATTTATGATGGAATTTTCACATTAGACATTAGATTGTGGCCTCCAAGAAAAGTTTTCAGAAAAACGATTCCATTTACCTTACATTTACTGCAAAATAAATATATTTGCAATGTGATTATTATTTAGAACTTTTCAGATAAAATGTGTATTAAACATAAATGAAATGTTTCCTGGAGTATAGGACTGTAAAAATACCTTTTTATATGCGGTCTTTATTTTGAGATATTAAACTGTATTTCCTTATTCCTAGGAAATAGACCTTCTATATTTAAACCTTTTATCTGCCTGACTTTAATTATCTAACTTGATAAGGTTTAGTATGTAGTAGCCAGATTCTCCTCTACAATTAACCAGCTGATTATGTGGCATTTAAGGACACTAATCACACCAAGGTGGGTTGATGTTACCTGTGACTTAGCACTCCTCCACTGAGTGTGAAAACTCGTATCATGCCAGGTCTGCCTGGAACTCACTAATATTAATTATACATATTTTAAAAGCATCATCCGTTCCATAAAACTTTAAATATCTAGGATTTGTACTGTCTTCGAGGACTATGTGCATAGTATTAAAACAACATTTAGGGAAATAAAATCATTTAGGATGTTTCTTTAATATGATTTCTCCCACTAAAACATCGAATTTCTACAAAACTATGCCTTCCAGACTTTCCATATCCAGTTATTAGGTCACGCAGATTCTGCCTTTGTAGTATCTCTCCTGTTTTCTCTTTTTCAACCCCATAATTGTCTTTCACCCAATCTATAACTGGCTGCGTTAATGCTTCTCCTCACTAGTCTGCAATAGCTTCCAATAGGTTTCTTCTTTTCAAATCATTCTGATATTGATATATCTTCCTGGAACACAGAGAATGTCATTCCTGTGTTTTAAGATGTTCAAATGTTCCCTACAGGATAAAATCCAAACTGGCCCCAGACTACTTCTCTGAACTAATTTTTTACTACATGCCATCTCTTGTCTTGTGCTCTAATTTCAACTGCCAATATCCTGAAACAAAATGAACTTTCGTTACTATATGCCCCTGTTAGTTCTTTTCTCACAGCCTGGAATACGCGTTGTCCTCTTTTCTCCCTAATAAAACTCATTCGTCCTTCAAAGTTGCACTCAAATACCATCATCTCCTTTGAGGAGGCCTGCATAGTCTACTAATTTGAAGTAGATTATTGCTCTGAGTATGCATCCAATTTGTATTCTATGACAGTATTTTTTTTCTAGAAGCCTCTGCCTTCTTGGAGCCTATAGAAAAGTGTGGACAAATATAAAAATAAATGTAAGCACAAATACAGATATGAAGTATTCAAGTTTGGACATCATGTTTAGCAAGGTAAAAAATTTTCTAAATGTATTTGTAAGCACCTGATTTAGAAGAGCAGCTGGCACCCCAACTGTTCCACATAAGATAGAAGACAAAATGAATATCAATTTTGTCATTTTTATATTTATTTTGAGAGTCATAGGACATTTTTTTATTTTTAACAGATTCCTTTTTCTAAAGACTTACAGTTCTATATTTTAATTATACTAAATGACTCTAATAACATTATATGAAATATGTTAATACATGTTTTTTAAAATAAAATTTAAAAGTAGGCAACTCACTGTATGTCATCTCTCTCCAGGTACAGAGATTAAAAATAATCCAACGGGCATTTTTTTGAATTAGTTTCAGGTGTACAGTGCATTGGTTAGACATTTATATAGTTTATGAAATGATCCCCCTGATTACTCTATCATCCATCTGGCTCCACACATAGCCATTGCAATACTATTGACTATGTTCCCTATACTGTACTCTACAACCCGGTGACTATTTTTTAAGTACTAATTTGTACTTTTTCAAGTATAAAACTAAACTAAGCTAAACCAACTAGCATTTTTTGACGTTTTGAAACATGTGGGTCTGCTCTACTAATCTAAATTTTAAATCTAAATCTAAATTTTAAATCTAAATTTTAAAGTATATAAACATTGTATGTAACCAGCAAACAAAATTATATAGATAATTTTTTCTTTAACATATTGGACACTATGATTGTGATCTTGACAAACCAGTGGAAATGCAAACCAAATACTAAAAGTACCATAAAATGAAGTACATGCTACCTTGAAAGGTGATAATGCGGTTGTTTCCTCCTTTTTCTTTCTTCTCTTTTTTGATGTTTCATTTTTTTGTCCTAAAAAATACCCCAAACATATTAATGATTGTTTCAATAAGATAGAGATACACAGACTTTATTTAAATTTATTTATTTTTGAGTAGTGATTACTTTTACATGGTTTGAACCTTTAAAATTTTTCCCAAAGGCAACAACAAATCTTACAAGTTTCTTGTGTATCTTTCCAAAAATATTTGTATTCATTTACAGGCTAATAAGTCTATAGTTTCTTTCCTTCACCACCACTGTTTCCATAAATGCTAACACATTTTACACCCCATTTTGTGTGTACAAAATTCAGAGTCCATTCCTGATCAGTAAAAGATTCCTTAGTATTTTTTATGATTTCAATGTATTTCATTGTAAGGATCTTCCAGGGTCTCAAAGACCACTCTCATTTCTGACATCAATTGCATATTTGGGGTTTCTCAGTAAAAATGTGTGACAATATGCATTGAGTATCGCCAGGCAGGGAAGCTCACCCAAGCCTTGGCATCCGGAGTTTTTGTTAGGGCTCTGTCACATTATTTCCACTCAGATTATTAATGCTCTCCTCCTACAAATTTTTGGCTTAGCTTGTTCTTTTTCTTGTTCCGTGAAGTATAAAGCTAGGTTGCTTAATTAAGATTTTTATTTTGTTCTTCATGTAGGCATTTATTGCTCTGAGCTCCCCTCTTTTGCTGCATCCAATAAGTTTTCTTATGGTACATTTCCATTCTCATTTGTCACACAACAGTTTTCGACTTCCTTTTTAATTGCTTCTTTGACTCAGTTGTTTAGGAGCATGTTGTTTAATCATCACATATATTGCTGGTGTCATGTAAGTCCCATTTTAGAACATTTGCAACAGCACGAAAAGTTCCTTTGTGCCCATTTTCAGTCAGTCTCCACTGTGACCCACCTGCCCCAGGAAACCACTGTCTCTACAGATTTGCCTTTTCTGAAAATTTCATATAAATGGATTCAAACAATATGTAGTCTTCTGATCTGGTTTCTTAATATAATATTTTTGACGTTCATCCATGTGTAGCATGTATCCGGTAGTCTGTTTTTAGTTGTTGACTAACATTCCATTGTATGGATATACCACATTGCATTTATCCGTTCACCAGTTGATAGATAGTTGGATTGTTTCCAATTTCACATATGTCTTTGTATATACATATGTTTATGTTCTTCTTGGGTAGATCTATAGAAATGAAATTGCTAGATCCAATGGTAAATTTATTTTAACTTTCTAAGAAACTGCCAAACTGTTTCTCTAAAGTGGCGGTACCATTTCATACTCCCATCAGCAATGTAGGAGGGTTCCAGTTTCTCCCCATTCTCACCAACACATGGTAATGTCAATCTTTTTATTATAACAGTCTACTGGGTATGTCATGACACCTCATTGTGGTTTTAATTTGCATTTTCCTAAAAGTTAATGTTACGGAGCATCTTTTCATGTCTAGATTAGCCATTGCTTGTTTTCTTTGGTTAAATGTTGATTTAAGTATCTTCTTACTCATTAAAATAACTGGACTATTTGTCTTATTATCAAATTGTAAGAGTTCTTTATATATGCAGATATAAGTTCTCTATCAAATATGATTTGTAAATATTTTCCCTCTGTGGCTTCTTTTCATTCTCTTAATGGTGTCTTCTGAAGAGTAGTAGTTTTTACTTTTTATGAAGTCCAATTTATTATTTTTATGTATTACATTTTTGTTGTCATATCCAAGAAATATTTATCCAAACCAAAGTCACAAAAATTTCCCCTTTTCATCTTTTAGAAGTTTTATAGTTTTAGCTCTTACATTTAAACCAATAATTCATTTTGAGTTAAATTTTGCATATGGCATGAGATAAGGATATAAGATTTATTATTATTATTATTTTGCATATGGATATTTAATTGTCCCAGTACCATCTATTGAAGTACCATGGCACCTTTGTCAACTAACCATAAATGTAAAGGTTTATTCTTGGACTCTCAATTGTTTCATTGATCTATACATCTATCCTTATGCCAATACCACACTGTCCTGAGTACTACTGCTTTATAAGTTTTAAAATTGAATAGCCTTCAATCGTTGTCCTTTTTCAAAGTTATTTTGACTTTCTAGGTCCTTTGAAATTTCATACAAATTTTAAGATCAGCTTGTCAATTTGTACAAAAACCTTGCTCGAATTTTAGTAGAAATTATATTGAATCTATAGATCAAATTGGGAAGAATGGACATCTTAACAATATTGAGTCTTCTATGAACATGGAGTATCTCAATTTATTTAGATATTCTTTCTTTCAGAAATGTAATGTCTTGCACTTTTTTGTTAAATTTATTCCTACATATGTTATTCTTTCTGATACTATTGGGAATAGAGTTGTTTTTTTTTTATTTTTGTATAGTTCATTGTTAATATACAGAAATACAATTGATTTTTGTATCTTGATCTAGCTAAACTTGTTTATTCTAGTAATTTATTTATTTATTTAGGTGACTTAGGATTGCCTATGTTCAGGAACATGTATGCAAATAAATAAAGTTTTAGTTCTTTCTTTCCAAGCTGGATGACTTTTTCTTGCTTTACAGCGCTAGCAAGAACCACAAACACGTCAAGTGTGAAACATCCTTGCTTTGTTCCCAGAGGGTAAAGCATCTTTGCTTTGTTTCTCATCTTGGGGGGAAACAGTCAGTCCTTTCTTCAGCGAGCATGATGAAGCATGCAGATACTCTTTATCAGGTTGAAGTAGTTCCCTTCTATCTCTAAGGTGTTGAGAGTTTTATCATTAAAGGATGCTAGATTTTTTCAAATGCTTTTTCTGTATACTGGAACAATGTGGTTTTTGTTATTTATTTGATTAATATTGTATACTATATTAATTGATTTGGGGGCACTAAACTATCTTTGCATTCCTGGAACATGGTGTATCATCCTTTTCAAACACTGTTGGATTCAGTTTCCTAGTATTTCATTAACAAAGTTTGTGTACACATTCACAAATAATAATTAGTCTGCAATTTCCTTTCTTTGTGATGTGTTTGACTCATTTTGATATCCGGGTAAAACTGGTCTCACAAAATACATCACGAATTGTTTCTTCCTCCTTTATTTTATGAAAACATTTTTATAGGATTGGTAATCTTTCTTCCTTAAATATTAGAATTCACCAGTAAAGCCATCTGGGCTTGGGCTTTCCCTTGTGAGATTTTTAGTTACCAATTCATTTTCTTTACTTGTTATTGTTCTATTCAGATTTTCTATTACTTCTTGAGTTAGTTTTGTTAATTCAATCTTTCTAGTAATTTGTCCACTTAAGCTGTCTTCTTATAGCACCAGTCACTGGATTTAGAACTCCCTCCATCCCATTCCAGTATAAGCTTATCTTAACTAATTACATCTGCAAAGACTCTATTTTCCATAAAAAGATCACATTCTGAAGTTCTGGATGAACATGAATTTGGGGAAAAATACTATTCAACCCACTACAGTGTGAATATATTTATAATCATTATAGCTTCCTGCTATATTGACCCTTTTATCAGAATGAAATGTCTACTTTGTCTCAAGTAATATTTCTCAAAATCTAATTTTTCTGTGATTTATTAGCTTCATAAAATCAATTGAAAGGCATTTTATATCCTTTCATATTCTGGAAGATATTATTTTATATAATATGAGACTTAACCATTCCCTGAAAAATCTTTAAAAAACTAAGTATAAAATTGTCTATCAATTTATTTTTGGATAACATTTGTAATATCTTCTATGAATAGTAGTCTATTTACATTTTTTTAAACTTTTCGAGTCACTCTTGGTTATTCAGAACTAGTTTAGTGTAATGTAGTGTTTCCCAATAGGAGTTCTGTCTATATTTTGGATGGGTCCATTCTTTATTGCTTAAGATCATTCCTCACACTGCAGGACATTTAACATTCTGGGCCCCTATACACTAAATGCCAGTAACTTCCAAGTCTTTAGGAAAACCAGATCTATATCCCCTATGCATTTCCGAATGTCCCTTGGTTATAATTGAGTCTCATTCTAATGAAAAAATTTATGACAGAATTTTTACATTAGACATTAGATTGTCCCTTGGCGGGTGTGTGTGTGTAGGGGTCATTCGAGAACCAGTGACATAGTGGTTAGGAAGGAGAACTTCAGAGCCAGACTTCTTGGGTTTGCATACAAGCTCTCACACTATTGTACAAAACTTAGTTGAATTACTTGGTCCCTCTATATCTCAGTTTCTTTATCTGTAAAGTATAAAGAATAGTAATGGTACCTATTTAATTATTGTGATGATTAGGTTAGTTGTTAACATGTAAAGTTATTAGAACAATGTCTGGTACACAGTCAGAGTTTGATAAATATTAGCAAATATTATTCCACAAATTTGTCATTTAAACAAGTTTTTATGTGACAGGATAATATTTTTGAAATATTAACTTTTTTTTATTAGTTCATCTTTTCCTTATCCCTACCCCCATGCTCCTTTTAAGTAGTTAGGCAGCTGTGAACTCAGTGTTTTAGGGAAAGGATAAACAAGGGTAGTAAAAAGAACAAAAGAAGTCCTCCTGAACTTGATTTCTAAAAATATAGACCATTAGAGGAATACAGAAGTTTCCTTATGTAGATAAAATATTTGGGAGAAATATAACTGGAAAGAACTGGTATGAGTCTCACCTCCCCAAGAAGCAAGAAAAAAAGAAAGAAGAGAACACTGTGGGGAAGTGTAAGAGTACAGACATGACAGACCTTATCTTAAAAAGATGGGCCCTGAACCCTGATTCACAGATCACCAGGAAAGCAGTAAATTTCCACACAAACATGAGGAGTCTAGGTGGGGGAAGGGAAACCGGAACTCTGGGCTTTGGGATAGTAACAATGACTGGGAGAGCAGGTTATGCTGACCAGGCTTTAATGTGGAGATGGGAGTAACAGAGAGTGAGGCACCACAGCTGAAGTGACTAGGCAGACAGGAATGAAGGCATCTCAGTGTTAGATCATGTGGATCAATGACTGAGGACCAGACAGAATGATGGACACCTCAGAAGATACCTACATGAACAGATAACACTGAGAACTAGGTGAGCATTTCCCCACTGCCCATGCCTTGGAAATGTAAAGACCACCCACTACCTCTCACACCTCTACCACTCCATCCTTGAAATAAGTAAGTTTTTACCTCTCTGTATAGTTTTCAGTTTTCTGAGTATTTTTTAAAAAGAATAAGGATATTATTAGATTAGCTCTATGTTAGCTATTATGTTAAACACTCCTTCCCTTGTATGTCATCAAATTCCCTCTAGATTTTGTTTTCCTTAATTAATAAGAAAGTACAGAATCCTCTTATAGCCAAATCTTAAATTACTTACAATTACCTACCTTCCTTTTCTTCATTTATTCCTTTTCTCTCTTCTTTCTCTTATTTTTCCCTTGGTAGCATCTAAAAGAATTAGATTTAAAAAAAATTGGAAGTGGTCTGGTTTATAACAGGCAGGTGAAAACATCTCCAGGGAAAAGAAATGAACTCTATGATCAAAGAATGGAAAATCTTTTTATTATGGTGAAGTTATATTAACTTTCTGTCAACAATAAAAAGCAAATGTTAGAACTAGAAATTATGAAAAACAAAAACTATACAAGAAAGTCATGGTTCAAATATGAAGCAATACTAAGACAGGGTATGGTTTTAGCAACTGATAAAATATAAATGTACTTGATGCTGTGACTAGAAACATTCTGGAAACATTATCCCTTGAAAGTCCCAGTAACCATGACATTAGATCCACGAAAGGGAAATCTAATCCTAGCACATGACTTGGCACTGCAATAACCATATGCGTAGAATGATAATAATTTAACTGCTGATCTTTGGTTTTGAACCTTAAAGTGAATCTATGGACAAAAAAATGAAAGTTAATTTTGGTCATAGGTCAGACTGTGAATGTAGATCCAACTATTGAAAATGTAAAAAAAAAAGTGCAGAGAAAAGATGGAGAAAAGGGTAGGAGTGCTTATAAAAAAAAGAGTAAAATAATTGACTAAAGTTGATGGAATAAAAAGTAGAATTACAAGTATAATATTTATCGATGCTAAATTAATGGTAAAACTAATCATAATACAAATAGCAAACCCTGAGAGGATAAAGATAGGTGAGACAAAGGGGTAATTTAAAGTGAGCTAATCAAAGGATATTATCTAGAGTTGAATGTGGAGAACAGCTATCATATTTTGATCACCCAGTATCTGATTCTCCTTCCTATGTTTCATGAATATTCCTCTGCATTCCTCCCACCATCAATGCTGAAAAGGCCAATACTTGCTTTCCCAGTTTCCTATGCAGCTGGGACATGGACATGTGATCTAGGCACAGTCGATCATTGCCTAGGAGCTAGTGACACAAAGAAGCAGAGATAGTGAAGAATCTACTCGGCCATGTGGCAGAAATACTCCATGTCTAGTGGCAGTGAAGAATCCATTCCGCAGTTGTGGCAGTAATATCCAATGTCTAGTGGCAGCAGTGGCAGCGATGACAGTAGTAGTATTTAGTGACTATGGCAATGCAAGTTGAGGCATCTAAGTTCAGTAGTGGCAGGGCTGTCAGTGTGCCCTTACCAGACTGGGCTCTGGGGCATGACTTCGCCTATGGTTCTAGCTGCCAAGTTTCACTTTGTTCCCATCCATACTCAGATATTGGTTCTCTAGGATTCTTGGCAATTCTGTGGGTTATTCAATATCCTTTTAATAAATTCCTTTCCTATTTAAATCAGCCCAAGTCAGCTGCCTTTGCTTATAACCAAGAACTCTGAACAGTCCATTGGTAAATCAAGTAACAGAAGTGTAAGCATATACTTTAGAAAGAATCAGAAACCCAAGTGTCAACAGTGGTTAGCATATGTAATTCCCTCAGCCTGTAATAAATCTTCCTGAATTCCACTTCTCTGGTTCTATCTGGAAAATATCTACTCATCCTCCAGTTCTCAATTTAGATATCATTTCCTCTCCGAAGCCCTCCCTGGTCCCTTTAACACATGCATACATAGTCATAGCACCCATCTGCATTGTAATGGACCATTTGTTTCTATTGCTCAATATAATAAAAGTTCCTTGGCTGAAGGGACCATGCCATGTTTACCATTACGCCTGACAAGTAAGTGGTATCCTCAATGAACATTTGTTGAATAAACAGAAGTTATAAAAGAGTTTTAATGAATTTTATTTCTAAATCATCTAACTTAAAAACAAAAAAATTTTAACAGGGTGAGAAAAAATACCTTCAGTACTTGAATCTGTCTGGCTTCCAGAAGATGATGATGAAGTGGGAAACACACAGTCATCTGAAGAATAAGATGTTGATGATCTATGTCGGGATCGGTGGTGTTTTTGGTTTTGCTTTTCTTTTTTCTTTTGTTTGTGTTTATCTTAGATTGATATACGATGTAACAGTTATTCTCTCAAACATTAGCAACAAGTGGGAAACAAAATACTTCATAAAACATATTTGAAATTACTCAAAAGGTCTTAAAGCAAGAAAAATTCCTACCTCCATTTCTGCTGTTCCCGGCATCCTCAGGACTTGTGTGTGTGGAGTTCTTATCCATGTCTATAAAACCTGCCTGCCATGTCTGCAAAACCAAAATATCGACAAATTATTAGAGAATTTAAAAAGCAAAATGATGTTTTTTGGGGACAAAGGAAACGGAAACCATGTTCTAAATTCTGAATGGAAAGAGGGTCAGGTGTATTTATTTACAAAATGGTTTTATATTTCTATTAAATGGCAACTTTTCCTAGATATAATTTGAAGACAGATGTCTTCAAAACATGCAGATTTAATCAAAATAAGTACCGTTTTAGTTTATTTTTGCTGTATAGCTTAAAACAAGAATTTAGTATTGATGTGGTGACACTCTTGGATTACATTGTGTCAAACTGGTTTTCTTCATTGATAAAGGGAAACATCAATGGCTATAGACTGAATTGCATCCCTTCAAAATTCATTTACTATTAAGCTCTAACTCCCAGTGTTACTGTATTTAGAGACAATGTCTTTAGGAAGTAATTAAAATAAATAAGGTCATTTGGGTAGAGCTCTAATCTGATAGGACTGGTGCCCTTATAAGAAAAAAAGAGAAGGAAGGGAGAGAGAGAGAGGTCTCCCCACTCACAACAAAAAGGCCAAGTGAAGATGCACCAGGAAGGAGGCCATCTGCAAACCAGGAAGAGTTCTCACCAGAAACCAAACACTGTTGGTTTGGGACCTCAGTCTCGGACTTTTCAGGCTCCAGTACTGTGAGAAAATAAATTCTCGTTGTTTAAGTCATGCGGTCCATGTTATTTTAGCATTATAGCAGCTGAGCAGAATAATAGGCTAGTCAAGGACAGCTGTGATTATGGCTCCCCTTCAGAGCTGAAATTGTCCCTGGTGCTGTCCCTGGTACCTGCAGCAGGTCATTCCTATCTCCTTCTTGGGCTCAACTTTTCCCTCCCACCCTTAAAGACAGACCATCCTAGGGCTCCGTCCTGAATCTTTTGATTGCTCCTCTCTATACACTATTCCATTCATTCCTGAACTTTATTATACATAAGAAACACTGAGAAACTTGTTAAAAGGCAGGTTCCCGTCCTCCAAACCCAGAGATCTTCATTTAGAAAATCTGGAGGGAGACCACTAGTTTTGATAGTAGTAATTCAAAAAGCCTTGACACCACACTTTGAGAAATACTGCTCTCTTAGTAATTTCAGGTAGTCATACAATTTTAGTGAATATAATACACTTCCATCCCTTTTATTTGTTCATATTTCCAATCCCTCATTTCTATTTAATAAACATTTCCTTGGATCATCTATTATTAGCCTTCACTCTAAAGTAAAACCAAGCTCTTCCGGAGACTTAGACATTTCTGTAGATAAAATCATTTTTCTCCTAGTTCATGCATTCATACACTACATTTATTAAACCCCTAGTCCAGTACTGAAAATACTGTGGTGAACAAAATGGACAAGATCTCTCCATTCACAAGCATACATTCTAGTTTAGGGAGAAAAAATAAAATAATTTCTAATGGTAAGTGTTATGAAGAAAATAAACAAATGATATAATTGATAATGCCCTGGTGGATAGGAAGTGTCTGCTTCTAAAAAGGTGACACTTGACCTGAAATTTGAAAGATGAGTCAGCCAGCCATATGCAAACTTGAAGGAAAAAAACTTTGAAGATGGAAGATAAGTTCAAAGGCCCTGAGGCAGGAACAAGTTTAGCATTTCTGTTGTTCAGTAAGATGGAACAATCAGAGTGGTACAAAATGAGGTAGTAAGTAAGCAAGAACCAGACCATGTAAAAGTATAAAACCAGCTTTATGTCAAGGAGTTGGGATTTCATCCTGAATATAGTGGGAAGCAACTGTAGGGTTTTAAGTAGGGAGTGTCAAGATCTGATCTGTGACAAAGTAGTCACATGATCTTTTAAAAACACAAATCAAATCCAAAAATGTCATCACCAAGACTGATAAGAAGCTTATCCTTTATGTTTTCTTATAGGAGTTTCAGTTTCAGGTCTTACATTCATTTCCAAAATCCATTTTGAGTTGATTTTTGTGTGTAGTGTAGCTAGTGGTACAGTTTTCCAAATGCCATTTATTGAAGAAGTTATTCTGTCCCCAATGTGTATACTTATCACCCTTGCCAAAGATTAGTTGACCAAATATGTATGGGTTTATTTTGGGGCACTATTCTGCTATGGGCATATATGTCTTTTTTTTTTTCCTTCTGAGGTCCAGAGCATTTTTGGTATAACTTGCAATCTTGTCACAATTGGTGGCTACTTGGAATCTAGTGGGAAGAGATCAGGGATATAGCTAAATGCCCTATAATGCACAGGAAAGCCCTTCACAACAAATAATTATTCAGCCCCAAACGATAATAGTAACAAGGTTGAGAAATTCTGTCCTAGTCCGAGCCACCAGAATCTCTTACTTGAAATACTATAAGTGTCAACTAACTGGGTTTCCTGCTTTTACTTTTACCTTTATACATTCTCTTCCCCACAAAGTAAAGCCATATGATTCTTCAAAACACACATTTAAAAAATTAAATTACAGTTGACATATTATATTGAGAGTAGGGAATATTCAGTCTTTCACCTTTAAGTATGACGTTAGCTCTAGGTTTTGTAGATGACCTTTATCAGATTCCCTTTTAAGTGTGTGTATGTGTGTGTGTGTGTGTGCATGTGTGTGTGTGTAACATTGATATAAAGACAGCTACATACTTTCTGAAACTTGTGTTTTATTTCATTGCTCTCTGTAAATAATTTTTAAGATAGGAAAAAAGCACAGAAAAGTAGTGAATCCCATCTCTTAGAGACCACCACAAGCATGTCAAATGCTCCCACTCCTCACTCTACACCATCTCTCTGCCACTTCAGCAATGGGGTAGGGGTGGAGGTAGAGATGCTGAATTGCAGAAGCAAGCATTCTTGTTTGGGAAGCCCAAGTCAGACCAGGCAAAGCTCAGCTAGTCTGGTGCTCCAGCCCGAGTTAGTACTCTTGTGAAGCAAGTCACACCAGCCATTCCTTTGGGTCACAGATGGTGGTCATTTCTATAGCTATTAAATAACCAATTGCCTCTAGATGGATTAGACTCTGTTTGGGGCTCAAAATATAATTTTTCCTCATCTAGATTGAGCTGAATTAAACAAACAAACAAACAAAAACCAACACAGATGAACCTGTTGAGTTCATGGTGCTGAGTTTTTAAAATCATGGATGTTGAATTTTGCCAACTTTTTTTTGCATCTCTTGATAGAAATATGTAGTTTTTCTTGTGTAGTCTGTTAATATGGTGAGTTATACTAACTGATTTTCAAATGTTGAAGCAGCTTTGACTTCTTGGGATAAATGACACTTATTCACAATGTATTTTTCTTTTTACATGTTGCTGGATTCAATTTGCTAATTATTTTCAGGATTTTTGCACCTTTGTTCATGAGGGACATTGATTTTTTTTGTTTGTTTTTATCTAGTTTTGGTATCACGTAATGTTGGCTTCATAAATGAGCTGGGAAGTTTTCTTCCCTTTTCTATTTTCTGAAGAGTTTGTGTAGAATGACTATTATTTTGTCTTTAAATATCTGACAGAATTCACCAGTGAAACTACATGGCACTGGAGAGTTTCCCTTTTGTGGTTATAGAACTATTCAGCTTGTCTGCTTCTTTTTGGGTGAGTTATGTTTTGATAGTGGTCCATTTCATCTGAGTTGTTGAATTTATGAGTACAGAGTTGTTTGTAGAATTTGCTTATTGTGCTTTTTAAAGTCTGTAATCAGTAGTGATATCTCCTCTTAGAGCATGTATGTGACAGAAATGACGTAGTACAATTAGAGACAGGACCTAACTGCAGCTATACGAACCTGAAACCTTGTTACCACTGACTCCTTCCTGTCTTTCAATTCCATATCCAGACAGATATCAAGTCCTTTTGATTTGTCCTTAACAATATTTCTTATAATTTCCCCCTATTCACAATACTGCTTGACATAGTCCTTTAACATCTCCTAATCCATCCAAACTGTTCCACCTATTGCCCAACGAGTCTCCCTGCCTTTCCCCACATTCTTCACACTGCTGCCAGACATATCTTCTTAAACCCCCAATGGTTCCACACTGCCTATAAGATAAAGGCCCTCCACTTCCAGCTGTCTTGCCTTTTGAATTGCAGTTCATTTTATTTCTCAAAATCAGGATTTTTTAACATATAGGCTTCAGAGGGGAGAAGTGGGTCATAAATCCCCTAAAAATTGAGTATAAAATGTTGTACGAAGGTGATTTTTATTTCCAGAGCAAGGTCTATAGACATTATTAGATGTTCAAAGCGCTGAAGCCTTCAACCTAATCTTGTCTCTATAATGTATCAAGAACGCACTACGGAGCCTCTCCAACAATTTCCACCTCAGTACAGAGTAATCACTCCTTTCTCTGACCTTAGATTTTCAAATTTTAATAATCTCACTTAACCTTAACATTTTACAGAGGAGGAAACAAATCTAGCACTTAACTATTTTGTCCAAAATCACTCCCGTATAATTTATTTTCAGGGCAACTGAGTTAGTGTTTATCTGCTATTTTCTTGGTCTTTTTATGAATAAAGGTCATATTTTTCCTTGAAGTCAGGAACCTCAGAGTTCTTTAAAACTGCAATTATCTTCACTGTCTTACACAAACTAGATGCTTACATTTTTGCTGAGAACAGTGATGACAATGACAGTCATACTAACGCAGGGGAAGAGGGCCGATTAATGAGTACTAGATTAGTACACTTTTAAGGAGGCATAAGCACCTTTGGGGGATGCAAAATATTTCTAAGCTCAGGGCTTAGATACCCGATAAAATGGAAGACTCAAGGATCTGAGGAGAGCTCTGAGAAAGTTCATAGACAGAGGCCGAATTTCCAGAAACAGGGACACTCTAAACAGCGTTCAGAAAAAACTTCTCAGAAGAATCAACGAAAAGAGAGATTCTCAGATATTTGGGAAAGAGAACAGGGTGATATAACCAGTTTTGGGGTGAGCTTTAAATTTCAACTCCATCGCATCCAAGCTAGTTACCTCAAACAAATTATTTAACTTTTCTGTGCCTCAGGGTTCTGCCCAAGGAGTGTTGCCATGGTTAAATAAAATGCGTGTAAAACCCTTAGGGCAGTGTCTTACTCTTAAGGCATTCTTTCATTAACTGTTGCTATTAATAAATAAGAAAAGGGGAGTTGGGAAGGGAGAAGAGGCTCTACGCTGAGAAGAGTGGTCCTCAGTAGAGATTTTAATTAGCAGAAGGAAGATTATGAAGCAGCCAGAAAGGGTATATTTCCAAAGGAAGTTGGGGGAAGAAATAGAGGCAGGAGCATTCCCACCGGGTGTTTCTGTGGGCCTGTCAAAATGGAAGAGCTGAGGGGACAGTCAGATGAAGAACACACCCTCAAGAGCACAGCAAGTCCTCAAATAACGAGGTTTTGTTCAACTTGGTTTGGTTGATGAGATGCCCTAGGAACTTTTGTTGTTTATAGCAATTAGCTTATGATAAAATTAGTTTCCTTATATTTGTTTTGATTAAAGTCGCAAAACCTAACGACATTGAGATTTTACTACATATATATATATATGAAGTCCGCCATGCTTTAAGACTAACCAAAAGCTTGTGAGAAAAGACATATTCTGGGGACAGCCTGAGCGCGGTGGATGTGGGGAGTGGTGGCGGACAGTACAGGAGTGACGGGGAGGCTGGGAGGGACTTAAAGGGGAATTGGGGGAAGGGCAGAAAGAAAATGCCGGCGCGGCCTCTTCTAGCCACAGCTCAGCCTGGAACTGTCACTTACTGGAAACTGCAGGGGAAACGACCTTTTGGGGCGGGCTCCATAACCCCCGCCCGAGGGTGCTGAAGAACCCCGGTGCCGGAGACCGCGGAGCCCGAGGCCCCGCGGCGGTTGCACGCCAGCGGCCGGAAATGCCCCGCCCGCGACACAGAGGGGGCGGAGCCGACGTGGCTCTTCCGGCCGCGCGGCCTTCCGCAGGGGCTGCGGGCGCGGTCGAGGCTAGTTTGCTCCGGGTTTACCTCTTCGCAGTGCCTTTCCCCATACATCACCCAGAACCTCAAACCCTAGGGCCAAATTCTGTAACAGAATGTCACCAAATAGCAAGGTTTTCCCGGGATTTGTTTTTGGGTAGATTAATTTGCCCAGATTTGATACCAGTACAAGGTTGAGACTTCCCATCAAGCAATGTGGTTATTTCCCCATGAATTCAAGCCTTCCCTTGATTATTCAGGTGAAGTCTTGTAATTTTCTTGCTGTTTCTTTTTAGGTTTTCCTCTAGCAGTTTTGTTGCTGTTTTAGTTTGTTTTCTTTTCCTAATGGACCCCTAATTTGTTTTTTGGTATGCTGATGTATTTGGTTACTCCACTGAACCTTTGTATTCTGATAATTCTCCCGGGTTTTGTAGATAAGAAATGTGTAAATAACAATTTTGTCTTTCCCCAGGAAACACTGTAATGTAGCCTCAGTGGTACTTTTTTCCAGAAGTAATTTGAGTTGCATCTTTGATTCGTTCATGATGTTTTCTGAAGGTTTCTGGTAGATAACCTTTTTTAAAAAAATAAAATAAAGGCACTTTGTTCTTTTCCTTGTTTGCCAAGTCGTTTTATTGTTCTTCAAAATCAGAAATGTGTACTGACTGTTACCAAATACTTTCAGTATTAGTCGTAGAGATGATCATATAGCTTTTCTCCATTACCCTACAATAATAGATTTTCTAAAGTTGGGCTATCCTTACAATCTTAGTATGTATGCTTCCAGTACATTGCTGGATGCAGTTTTGCTGTGTATTTAATTTCGGTTTTTTTGTGTTATTGTTTGTGAGATTGGCTTTTGGTTTTCTTTAGTTCTCTAAAGAACTTGTCTAGTTTTGGTATCGGTTTATGCTAGGTATCAAAATGAATCAGGCGGATGAACTTTTTTTATATGAACTGGACTGTAAATGATCTGTTCCTTAGGTTTTGAAGAACTCATCTGTAAAGTCATCAGGGTGTGGTGCCTGTGTAAAGGATAAATCCTTTTTTGTAGAAAAGTAGTCATTTTATCTGCATTTTCAAATTTATTGGAATAAAATTGGCCATAGTATTAACATTTTTTGATCTCATATTGTTCTTGTTAATTTTTATACATTATATTTAAGTTGTTTTTTCTTTTTCTTGATCATATTAATTGAACCAGCTTTTGATTTTACTGATAACTTCTATCTTTGAAGTTTTTTTCTCTAATGTATGCCTTGAGTTTATTCTTTTTATAGACTCTACAGTTGAAAATTTATTTTCTCGAAAATGTTTTATATTAAATATTACAAACATATATAAAGTTACAGAATAATATATACCTATATACTGACTAGCTAACTTTATCACAGTTTAACATTTTTCCATATTTGCTTCGGATTCTAATATTACCTGTGAGCCCCCTGGGAACCCCTTCTGCAGTTTCACTCTTCCCCTCTCCTTCCCCAAAGTTAATTCCTCCCCTGGATGTGGTATCTGTTATTCCCATGAAAGCCTTTATACATGCTACATAAATATGCAGCTATATAAGTAACATATTGTTTTGTATGTTTTTAAACTTCATAAATGACGCCATCGTTTAACACGCTTTTATCGCCCCAAATTATGTTTATGAAAGTATCCATGTCGATTCATGTAGTTCTAGCTTTTTCATTGTAACTGCTGAATAGAATTTGATAGCCTGATTATAAAGCAATTTATCTATTCTCCCGTTCCTAGTAATTTAGTAATTTAACAATTTCTGATTTTTGCCATTATGACACGAGTTAATGGGCATTCTTGTACACATCATATTGCGCATAGGCAAGAATTTTTAAGCATATGTCTACAAATGGAATTGCAAGGTGAAAGGGTTTACACAATTCAAATTCGATATTGTTAAATCGTTCTTCAGTGCTTGTACTGGAGTTTCTGTTGCTCCACTTCCATGACATCCTTTTTGTTTTTCCCAGGTTTTTTTTGCTTTTATAAACAATGCTGGTAGTAAACTTTCTTGAATGTGTCTCCTAGTACTGATGTGCAAGAGTATCTCTGAATATATACCTAGAAATGGAGTTATTAGTTCTGTTTTATTTTAGATATGTATTTGATAAACATATATATGTGTTACCGGAGAGTGGGGATCCTCTCCAGGCACGTTGTCCAGGTTCTTGATGTCTCGAGCAAAGAATCGAGCAAGACACCAAAATACAGTAGAAAAGAAAAGCTTTATTAGAAGGGGAAGTACACTTCCAGATGTGGAAGCGGGCCGGAGCAAGAGGAGCGTGCCTCAAGAGGCCTGGTAACAAAAGCCTTTGGGATTTTTATCCCTATTTGCTGTGGGTGGTTACTTTTCTTCGGTGGCTTCCTTGATTGACAACTAAGATTGACAGGACTCACTAAGTCATCGTTTTGCTTTCTGAGCATGTTCATTCCCAAAATTCAGTCTGTTATAATGATATTAATGAACTTCTGGGTATATGCATCATATTATAATGTATAATGAGGCTCAGGTGAGTTGAAGGTTGTTGGGGTCTTCACTGCTCAGGTGCGAGTGACTGGCTTAAAATAGTACTTAATTCTCTGTTTACTTTTCTTTATATGAGTTTAAAAAATGCCATCTGGCTTGCTTAACAGTGGGCAGATTAGGGCAGACCCCTTCTAGGATAAAATGACCTCGTTGTCTTTGCAGGCAGACCCGAAACCACCTAACTTTCCTGCTTCTTTTCTAAGAGCCATGAACCCACTTATTAGTAGTATGGATGTTGAGGGACGGGTGGTCTGCTGAAGTACCACCTCAGTCCCTAGACAAGGAAAAGATGAGACCTGCCCATTGCTGTTTCATGGAGCTCTTTCCTTTTCTGCCTGAGGGTGGAGTCTTGGGTTTCCGGCTGAAGTGCCACCTCAGTCCCTAGACAAGGAAAAGAAGATACAAACTTGTTATTTAAATCATATATCTACTAATTTCTATTATTGATTTGCCTATCAAGCAAGTAAAGGGAAACAGGCCTGGTTAATATATTTCTTAAAGAGTAAAAAAGACCTTTGGTCTAAAGTCCCCTCCCCTCTCAGACTCTTAAGGGCTCTGCCTGGCTTAACACTATTTCTGCTAACAATGGGCCGATGACCCTTATCAATAACCAGAGGATCTGAGTCACCACTTTCAGAGCGGGATTTGAGGGGGTGGGCCATTTTCCCAAAGAAAGAAGGGAAGAAAACTAGGTTTACTAAAAAGATTAAGAACTTTGCAAGAGATGTCCCTTATCATTTCCTGGTTAAAAGATTAAGAATTTTACAAGTGACGTCCTGTGTTATATATGCTCCCCCCACATTAGATTTCTTTTTTTAATAGTAAAATTTAATTTATTCATAATTATGTGTTTGGATTTAATTCTAACTTGTTTTTCTATGTATTATGCCTCTTGTTTTCTGTCTTCGGTTTGATAAAGTTTCTTTTTCCAGGTTTTTTTTTTTCTAGTGGTCTGAAAGTTATACATTCAATTTTTATTCTAGTGGTTGCTAATATATTTTAACTCATTTAAATTCATATTTTAGCATAAACATGTAGAGTTAATCAGTACCCATGTGAGGCAGTCTTACATAGTGGTTAGGAGTGGAGCCTCTGAAGCCAGACTGCCTGGATTCAAATTCTGGCTTTACTACTTATTAGCTGTGTAACCTAGAGCTTATTACATAACCTCTCTGTGCCTCAATTGCTTCATCTGTAAAACAGGGATAAAATAGCATATAACTCAAGAAAATTGTGAGGATTAGTGCGTTAATATACAGTTATTGTGTCAACTTCTTAGGACAGTGCCTACACATAGCACATACATCTCTCTAATGACCAGTTTTTTTTCATCTATGAAATAGGCATAAAATCTGCCTAGCAGATTTATTATAAAGATTCAGTGCATTATTTTATATATATATATATATACACAGTTCAGTTTAATACACTGGACACCTTCTATGCACTTGAAGAGGAATTTTCACTCAAAAGGCTAATCAACTCTTTGTTCTGCTTCTGTAAATATGCTTGCTGCCTAGGCCTACTCGAAATTAACTAAAGACTCATCTTCCCTTTTGCTTGTTCTAAGCAACAAATGTAGCTGCCTGTAGCCCCTAGCAACTCTCGTGCCTTGCAACTCTTTGTAACTGCCTACAACCCAGAGCAACTCAAGCGCTTTGTAATAATCTGAGGACAAATTAACCAATCAGCCCATGCCAAATAAGATCTATATAGGAATGTTGCAAATGAGCTGGGGGGGCGGGGCTCCTCTGGGACCGCCTGCGTAATAAACCTGTTTTCCAACTTTCTGAGTGCTGCTTGGGTTTCTCCACTGGTCAGATTTTTGTAACTTTTCTGCAACAGAATGAGACATGGTTTTTTGGCTTTAAGGAGTTTATTAGCTAGTAAGGGCACAGCCATGTAAACACATTTGCAGTGTGATGTAACCTTAATACTCTTCCCATGTCCTCTCTAGTCCCTTTCTTATCTATTCTTCACACTAAGCAATTTTTTTAGAATACCTTAGTCAGAGCATGCGTTCCCCCGCTAAAAGCTTGTCCACTTTAATTACACTTTACTTAAACCACAAAGTCCTCGCTGTGACTTCAGCACTAGCTTCTGTGCCTTGCCTTCTTTTCTAACTTCATCAAGTGCCACTCTCCTCTTTTCTAATGGACTCTCAACACCCTGGCCTCTTCTCAGTTCCTAAACCAACTCTTTTACAGTCATGCACCACTTAATAACCAGAATACATTATGCATCATTAGGCAATTTTGTCATTGTGCAAACATCATAGAGTGCATTTACACAAACCTAGGTGGTACAGCCTACCACACTCCTAGGCTATATGGTATATAGACTATTGCTCTTAAGCTGCAAGCCTGTATAGCATGTTACTGTACAAAACACGAGATTAAATCAAGCACAAGCAAAAATGATGTAATCAGCACTGTATAAAACACGAGATGTATGTGGCTGCTGTCGGCATAACCCAGCATTCTGTTCTATAGCAAGCCTTTTTTTTAAATAAGTAGAAAGTGTATAACCTAAAATAATGATAAAGCATGTAGTATAGTAAGTACATGAACCAGTAACAGTCATTTATTATCATTATCATGTATTATGTACTCCACGTAATTGTACATGCTATACTTCTGTACACCTGGCAGCACAGTAGGTTTGTTTACATCGGCATCACCACAAACCATGGGAGTAATGCATTGCACTGTAACTTCATGACATCACTAGGTGACAGGAATGTTTTGGCTCCATTATACTCTTACGGTCACCCTCATACATGCGTGGTTGACTAAAATGTTGTTAGGTGCACACGACTGTATTCCTCAGTGCCTTCTGCCCCAAATCTCCTCCCACTTGCTCATCCAATGACTAGCTCATCTTTCAGGTCTCAGCTTGACTCAGACAGGTTCTTAGTAACAAATAGCAGAATCTGTTCTGGCTGAAAAAGAGATTTTATTAATATGTGTAGCCCACAGAATCTCCAAGAAGACCAGAGGCCTGATGTGGGAGCGGCACAGCCCGTGCTCTAGTGAAAATCCACTGCTGCCACCACAGCTGGAAGCCAAAACCACAACTTCTAGAAACACGGTCTGTGAAAATAAGGGTGGGGGTGCCAGAAGCTCTGCCTATACTGCTTCCGCCCCTTCACCACCAGGTAACCAGACTTTGGCATATTCCTTCCTTTTATCTTGCAAATTTTTCTTGCAAAAAAACGTTGAATCTTTCTAACTTCATCTTTCAAGTTGAAGTTTTGCACGGCTATGCCTGATTGGTGGGGCCTAGGTCACATGCCTGTGCTGCACAGCAGGTCAGGAAGGCAAGTTTTCTCACAGGAAATTCCTCAGATATTAAAAGGGTGTTCAAGAGCACTGGGCGTTCACAAAACATGTTACATGAACACTAAATATCATATTACTTCAACATAAAGGCCTTCCCTGACAGCCCTAAATATACACACATTTTCCCTAGCCTGGCCCTATTATTCTTCCACTGTTCTCTGTCATTTCCTTCAAGACATTTATCATAACTTATGCAATTATATACTTATTTGTTCAAGTGCCTTATTAGTGCTGGAGCCAGAGTCTAGTCTCCACATGGAGTTTCATTCAAACAAGTGTAATTCAAACAGCCAAAAGTTCTTTGTAAAAGTACTTTAGTCTTTAATGGTCTCTTGGAATTAAAAAAGCATCGAAGGGGTTCCAAGTCACAATTCCCAACAGTTCCTGTAAATCCATATTCCCTTTTTAATTCTCCTTAATTCTGTGTGGATTGGTGTAACTTTTTCTTCATAAATTTTGCCCCTAGGGCTCTCTTTAGAAATGTTTTCTGTCTATTTTCTTATTTTGCATCACAATCAGAAGTGGTCTGAGAGTGACATTTTTGGTGGTGGAGGGTGGGAATCGACAGGCAAAGTCTTCGTCAGTGAGAGTGACATTTTTGGTGGTGGAGGGTGGGAATCCTCCACGGAGGACACTGGGAACATTTATACATTGATCACTTCGGTTCACTACTTGTGGTTGACCTCTAGGTTATAAGTTTTATGAGGACAGGGACAGTATTTGCTCTGTTTGCACCTAACATAAAGTGTGACAAATACAAGTCAATTAACACTTGTTTTCTGGAAAAAAAGAAAAGTCGAGCAATTGAGGTGTAGACAAGGAAGTATATAGCAGAGAGCAGGTGCTCTTGGCCTAGTGAAGGGTGGGGTGGGGTGTACAGTGAGTAGAAGTAGTTTGGGAATGCCTCATGGAGGAGGTGAGGCCAAAGCAGAATCTTAAAGGGCAAGAATTCACCAAGCAAAGAAGAAGGTGAGGGTATAGAAGAGTATTCTAGTTAGAAGTGTAGCACAAGTGCAAATGGCAAACAGCTTGGTGAGCTGTTGCTAAGTGCAAAGTGGGAGAACTGGCTGGAGATGAGGCTGGAGGGCCATAGGTGGGCATGCAAGGCCTTGTACACCATGCCAGGAGGCTGGGTTTTGTCCTATGGGTGATGGAGCCAGCGGGGTGGGGTGGGGAGTCATTCTCAGATTTTCATTTGAAAGAGATTACTGGATGGTGGTGTAAGGATGGGTTTGAAAGAAGCAAAAGGAAAAAATAGAAGAGTTGAGTAGCAAAAAATGTAGTCTGCAGCAGGATGTAGTAGGCATTGAGGATAGGAATATAGTAGAAATAGTAAGTAGGGATGATGTAAAGAAATTATCTGGGGGTCATATCAGCAGAACTGGGTGGGTGATTGGATGGGGACAGTAGGGGAGGAATCTAGAATAGTGTCCAAACTTCTGGCTTGGATGATGATGTCATTAACTTAGGGTAGAATCAATGGGAGGAGTCACAGGTTGGCAGTGGAAGAGAGAGTGGGAAGATTTCCAGTTCAGTTATGGCGAACTAGATTTTAAAATACCTGTAGGACTTCTAATTTTAGATGGTCTGCAGGTACTTGGATATATGAGTCTGCAACTTAAGGCAAAGGTCAGGAGAAGAGATATCGAGGAAGGAGCAGCATGGGGGTGGTAATGAGTTCAAGATTCGACTGTGGGGTATGCTGGGAGCGACTGCTGTTTACAGGGTGGCACTGGGTCCTGCTGACATTCCTCTCCCTTCCCACCTCCCTTGTACTTCTCTTACCTCTGACCATTCTGTCTCCGAATGCTTTGCAGGCTTCTCTTCCTCCTCCCCTAAAATGTGGTGGTCTCAGGTGATTTTACCACCTGGGTTCCCTATTGGGTATCCATCAAGCTTTATCTCTAGGCCAGAATTCTGAAATAAGTTTAAAACCCATGTCTCTGACCACTTTTTAAAAGAAAATAGGTAGTCAATAGTGTGGACTGACTTTCCAAGAGACCACACAAAGGGTCAGTAGCTCTCTGTCCTGTTTACTTGCATCAAGATTGGCACTGGGAATTGAACTTGGCCATTACTATTTCTTGTTTCTCTGAAGACATCGAATTTGGAGATCAGGGGTCAGAATTCAGATCTGTTAATGTGCATTATCACATACCCCACCTCCCCACCCTCCTTTTATCCTGCACATATCTTTCTCAAGGTTAACTCCCACTTTATGACCTGTGTATTGTTTTCTTTTCACTACGAAGCAAAATCAAACCAAAATGGAAATAAAAATGTAAATTTTATTGATATGGAATAAAAATAACCATATCATAAAAGAAGAAAAATAGTTTATGTGGAACCACTTCTTTAAAACAAAAATCACAACTCTTTGTGGGAAAGGAGTACTTCTGTGAACACTAATTCAATGATGAAGGAACTCTCGACTCTAAGCAAATCATGCCATGACTTACATTTTTTATGCAGAGAAGTTGGTTAAAACACAAAACTGGTATTTTGAGAAATTCACTTTAAAATGTTTTTCACATCAATTACTTAAAACCAGTTACAACAATACGATCTTCCGCTCCTACGGAGTTCGAGGGTGACCTTGGACTTCATTAGAAATGTTGAAAACAAACACTGCAGAACAACCTGTGTGGTCTAGAGAAAGGCTTCCTCAGTTAGTCTGAGGTGACTTGTTGACTGTCAGCCATATCAGGATTCACCAGCAGCTACAGTGTAGTTCTTTAGTATATTTCCACTGTGAACTTATTTCTCTGCCCTATGAGACTTTAGCGTCTTGAAATATTTCACGAAAGAGATTAAGAAAGTTCCAATTATTCCAGAAGCCACTGGTATAAATCATGCTTGTTCTTTCAGGTTTACTGTTTAGAAGTTGTAAGGTGCAGGTCATCATCTGAGTGAGCTGCACTAAGTGACTCTCAGCCCATGGCACTTGTCCTTGCATGCTCAAGAGAGCCAGGCCAAGTGTAAGTAATGCTCAGTTGTATAACAATCAGTTAGGGCTCAGGTAAACTAGGTATTTTTGTTAAGCTCAGGCTTATCAAGAGTCAGAAGGACTCTTCTCGACTTGTACATACACCTTTAGGCTCGTATAGATAGATGCATAAGATCGTAATCACTTCTGTTCACAAAGTACTTAGGACTTTAACAAGAAAAGCCACAAGTTCATGTAAATGCCTGTTTTCATACCAATTTATGAATTCAAAATTTCCTTAAAAAATAACAGATATTGTTTTTAGCACTCAGGGTTGAATGGGAGTACTGACACCACAGGAACTTATAATGGTGTCTTCCCTAGGTTTTAAATTCCTCTTACCCATTTATGACATTTTCTCCATCATATGCTAAATTCTATCCATCCTCGCATTACTATTATTACCAAAATACCTTTAAGTTATTTGTATGCATATACATATATACATTTATTAAGTTAAACTTTAGAAACTATTAATATTTTGCTGTTTTTGACCCATGAAAATAGTTTTATTACATGGTTGAACCTAATAAAATCTGAACTGTAGCTAGATGTTTATATAGACTTATATGTATGCTATAAGGTACTTTCTGGTTTACTTCAGCAGAGAGAATGAAGATCTATTAGCCAATTATTATGCAGCTTTGCAAAACTGTGCTTGCTGACTACTGGCGGATTTCATGAAAATATTTAGAGGTGTAGAATTTAGCATTTGACCAAAGAAAGTCTGTTCAAACTGGACATATTGTCTTTGTAAGTATATCATCCATCCAGTGATCTGGAACAACTTACCCTAACAGGAGGCTCATGGTCACGTCTGGAATCAGCAGGCCAAATGATAATGTACCAAAGCGTTTCAACTGGGAATTCTATGTCTGTGTGCTCATTAACATTTACATGACACAGTGCCTACCCTGAGACCCCATGCTAAGCACCAGTAGAAGAGAGGAGCCCCAAACCTTGCTTTGAGGAAACTCACCATCTTTCAAGAGCTAGAAAAATATAAATAACGAGAGGATATCCTAAATGTTTTAAGTTCCAAGCTGGGACCAAGTAAAAATGTAAAAAGAAGATGGCACTTAGGAAGCTTTAAACTGACTTCAAACACTAAAGGCAAAAAGCCTTAAATACAAATGTGTCCTGGGTTTAAATTCAGCCACTATAATAATCAAAAGTTTCCTCCTCCATGGTTCTGGGCCCAAGAAGTCCTCTATGATCCCAGAAACAGTGACTAGAGATCCTCCAGGTCAGTTAAATCCACAGCCACTTTCAAGAACATGGTGTCATCTTTAACGTAGGTGTTCTTGGCATTCTCCAAAGTGGAGTGAGCCACGAAGCGGGGACAGCCAGAGGCGATGTTCATCTCGCCATCAGGTCTTTTAAAGCTGCTGCTGTTGGGGTCAGCCTTGAAGGTCTCCATAATGTGGTTTTTTTTGCCACTCTGGTCCAAAAGCATCAGGGTCACCCTCTGCCTGAATGGCCACTGCAACAGTGAGTCAAACTCTCCTCGCATCACCACAAAGTACAGCGACAGGTGCGTCCCCTTTCCAGACCCGTCCCCATTCAGGTATGCTCTAGCGCAGAGCCGGTAGCCACACCGGCTGGTGTAGAAAGGCTGGCTGAAGATGGATACCGTGTGGCCGTCCAGCGCCTCCCTCTTCTTCATCTTGTAGTCTGTCACTTTCCAGATGAGCTTGCCATTATAGCAGGCGCCTTCTAGCAGTTTAAATCGCTCTTCATTTTTATTCAGCTGTGCTTTATGAATATTAATGTGGGCATCATGTTTGTTTGTCTCCCCTTCCAGAACAACTGCAAAGAAGAAAACAGATCTGTAGGCCTCAGAATTGTCTTTAGGTTTGCCCAAAGTGAAGTTTTGTTATCTGAAGAGAACCAATAAAATCCTGACATCCTAAAGATGAACTGAATTCAACGTCCACCAATGGACCATTTGTACGAATAATATCAACTCGGTGAATCTCATGTTTTGGCAAGAGTGGCACCAAGAAAACCCAAATGTGTCCTTTTGAAGTGAAGTTTGCCCAAGTGTAAAGACGCACTGAGCATTCAACTAGCGTATGTTAGCTTAGTGGTCTCCACAGTTTTTGAACGGAATGCTTTTAAACAGCCAAACCCGTTACTATTTCTTCGGCACAGGCGTACCTTGTTTTATTGCCCTTCACTTTATAGTGCTTTGCACACATTGTGTTTTTCACAAAGTGAAGGTTGTGACAACCTTATGTTGAGCAAGTCTATTGGTGCCATTTTTCCAGCAGCATTTGCTCACTTCGTGTCTCTGTGTCACATTTTGGTAATTCTTTCAATATTTCAAACTTTTTCACTCTATTTGTCATGGTGATCTATGATCCGTGGTCTTTGATGTTAGCAGGGCAAGACCTTTCACCAGCAAAAAGATTACGACTCACTGAAGGCTCAGATGATGGTTAGCATTTCTTAGCAATAAAGTTATTTTTAAATTAAATAAAAGTTATTTTAAATCTGAAGATTTTTTAAAATTAAGGTACATACTTTTTTTTTTAGATGCAATGCTATTGCACACTTAATAGACTACAGTATAGTATAAACATAACTTTCATACGCACTGGGAAACCAAAAAATCTGTGACTCGCTTCATTGTGATACTCACTTTATCGCAGTGGTCTGGAACTGAACCTGCACTGTCTTCGAGGTGTGCCTGTCTTTAACAGTGTTCCTGCCGCACCTCTCCCTTAGCTTTCTCATGATTTTCCACTCTTTAAAAACCATCACTCCCTGTCCTTGGACTTTCCTGGCCCTTTTCCACCCCTTGACTCTTCCAGCCCCAGCTCATGGCTGTTCATCATTTTTGCCTGATACCACAGATACCAGGCTCGACCATTCTTTGTCCTGGAAAGCTGCAACTCTCCATTTGGCCAGGTGTTTGCTTGTTTCCTGAACTCATGCAGACAAATGAGTCACCAAAAGAGAAATATAAAACATTAGACATACCTAATCTTTGATCATTGCTTTCTAGCAGGGTAATTTTCTGCTTCACTGTATCAATTGCTTCCACCAAAGTCCTCAGATCAAATTTATTTTGCTGCTGGTTAGCCATTTGTAATAACTGACGTACTTGAGCTTCTAGCCAGGCAGACTTGTCAATGTGACTGGCAAGAACCTTCAGTATAAAATGGATATTAATATTGTAGTGAATTAATACCTTAGTAATTCATTGAGATTAAAATTTTCAACACAAACATTTCACATTTCATCACTTAATGAAAACTACGCAATGAGGATTACCGAGAGATTGACCACCTCTGTCTTTCTCTTCCTCCTCCCTATCCCAGCTTCTGTTCTAAATCTCTGAACTTCAGCGGAATTTTACTCCTCCCCTGGTTTCTCTTTCCTTGGTTCTCTACTCTATCTTCATATCTCTATTCTCACGTTGTCTTTCCCTCTTGCCTTCTCCCTTCCTTCTCTTTTCAGAAGCTATTCACTTGATTCACTCCTGCGTTGCTAAAAATCAGAAAATAAGCTGGAAGTCAGCCCACCTGTTCTGGCCTGAGCACTACAGGTGGCACAGAAGTGTCCTAGGTGAGGCCTGAACTTTTGATCGCTCTTTAGATGGAAGAGATTAAATAAAACTGTGGCTCTATTTCTCCTCCACCCCTGCCTTCGCTGCCTCAACTCTGCTGATTGTGTTAGAAAAAGATCAGAATTGAGATAGTAACGTGACGTATTTTTTTCCTAAGTACATGTGTGTGTGCGTGCACGTACACACACGTATGCTGACAAAGCACGGAAACTATATGTCCTGTGTTTTCAAGGATAATCCAAATTTAAAAAATATTGCCCATACCACAGGTCTTGAAATCTTTCACTATAAATTTTATAATCACAATAAAGACATTATTCATTAGGAATTTGTTTATGGCTATTTAACATTCGTGGTTTATAAAATAATTTTTGCTCTATTTCAGTGATGTTCAAAACATTTTCTTCCCAAGGAAATTCATGGTTTCAACTTTGTTGACTACAAAATGCAGAACTATACAGATGTTTTTAATCTGAAATCAAGTGACGAATATTGGCCCAACATTAATTAAAACCTTAACTGCTATAAATTATATAAAAGTATTGTATCAATGTTAAATTTACTGACATTGCTAAATTTACTGGGATTATGTAAAAGAAGATCTTTATTCTTACAAAATACATATTGAAGTATGTAGGGGTAAAGGGCCCTAATATATGCAGCTTATTCTGAAATGAGGGGGTGGGGGTGGAGAGAGAGAGAGAGGGAGGGAGGGGGGAAAATTTTAAGGAGAAGAAGCTATTAAAAAGATAAAATTTGCATGTGTTCTAAGTTTCCTACAACCTATCCTACGTAGTTGGTTGTGAAGTGAGGGAAGGGAGAAAGAGAGGGAGGGAGAGAGAGAGAGGGAGGGAAGGAGGGAGGGAGAGAGGGAGAGAGAGAGAGAGAGAGATTGAGAGACTGAATAAGAAGCAAATAGGACAAAATATTGACAATGGGGCAGTATGGGTAGAGAACACTATCTTATTCTTGTAGTTTTTCTGTGCTTTTGAAATTATTTCCATTGAAAAAATTATAAGAAATACCCTCATTGCCAATTGGAGGCTAAATCTTGACTATGAAGAGAAAGGCCATTTCTCACCTGGATATTTGAGAGAAAGCTTCCATTTTTGCCAAACAGCTGTGCAAACTGCTTGAACTCCTTTTCGAATTTCTTTACAGTTTCTGCTAGCTGCTGGATTTTACTTTCTTTTCGTTCTAGGCTCTTATATAAGTCAGAAATCTAATAACAGGAATGTGGATGAGGTCATTTAAATGCATACATACAAATTAAAATAATCTAAATGTAGTTCTAGGAAAATAGCACAGGTAAGAGTGTTTCAAGAAAAACTATATTTCTAGGAAAACATTTACAGGTAGATTTCTCTATAATTCTAGGAAAATATTTACAGGTGCTTTGTAAAAAAAAAAAACCAAACTGATGCACAGACTTCATATCAGCCTTTTCTATACCTAACCCACAATGATGGTTCATCTAATCATGGTGACGTCATTTGACTGAATTTACTGAACTGGTTCTCTTCATTCACTCTGTAGACTCTTATCAAACAACCACGGGGTACTGATCACCATACCACATTAGATGTTATGTGCACAGTGTCAATAGTAATAGCTGAAATTTGCTGAATGTCTATCATACCCTTATATTCATTAGCTCTTTTATCCTCAAAGAACCCTATGAGTTGGGTATAAATCTCGGTCCCATTTTACAGATGAGAAGACAGAGGCAGAGAGTTTAAGTAATCTGCCCAGCATCCAGCTGAGAAGCAGTAGGCAGAACATGGTACCCTCTCAGAATTTGTGATCTACAGGAGAAAAATTGCCAAAAACCTAAGAGTGACCCCAGACAACTCTTCCCTCATCCTCGCATGCACTCAATTAGCAATACTTGCCAACTTTAACTCCTAACACACAGCGAAACAAAACAACTCTTACATCCATTTCTCATTTCATCTCATCTTGTTTCAGCACTTGTTTCGGCCTTCGTTACTTCCCACCTGGACTGCTACAACGGCTTCCTGTCTGGTCCTCTCTATCCCTCACACATGTGCCAGCAGGGAAGCCCTGTGGGAGCCGGGACTGGCATGGATCCCACAGTCCCCTGTAACCCCAGCAACTGGCCTGGCACCTGGCAGCAGTTGGCATTTGAAAAATATTTGTTAAATGAGTGAGTGCATGCATCCTCTCCCTCTCTTTAGTCTTGTTTCCCTCCCGTACACACTCCGTACAGTGTCCACAGTAATATGAAGAGACAGATCTGGTCTTGTCACCTCCCCGCAACCACAACTTGACCATCTCTAGGGGCCTTTTACAGGCCATACAGAGCCCTGCAGGCTCTGCCCCCGGCTACCTTTTCAGCCTCATGCCCTTGACATCCCATGTGTGCCCAGCCCCGTAAGACTACACAACTTCAATTTCCCATCAGGCCTTGCTCTCTCAGACTCTTCCTCCTTCATCTAGAAAGTACTACTTTCTAAGCCTCCACTCAAAGAGCACATTCTCTCAGAACTATTTCCTTGCTAGGACTACCTGCCCAGGCCACCTAAGTTCCATGACACCCCGACCACACTCTAATGTGTAATGGACCCTTATTACTCATATTGCTTTGTTGTTGTGGTGGTTATTTTCATCTTTTTTCTCCACTAAATTGCTGAGGCTACATCTCACTTATTTCTTTATTCCCAAAGCCTTGCGTAGGGCCTGGCACACAGAGGGCATCTGATACATGTTTTACGAATAAAAGCACAAATGGCTGTGACAGCCATCTGATCTCTGGCCCCAGAATCCTCTGTTCAGAGCCCGAGAGCTGGCCTTCACCTACACATCAGACAGCTCCCTGGACGGAAGCTAGCTCTCCTCTCCCCGCCCTCACCCCTAACCTGCTCCCTCCCATTCTCGTAGTGCCCGACTCAGTGCATGACAGTACCACGTTCCCTGTCATCTGAGCTTACGGCATGCCACAGCCTCTGAGTGCTTCCCGGTGCCCCGTCTCCATTCGCACCGACACAGCCTTGCTTATCCTTCACCCTCGCCACCACCTCCTCTGGCATCTTGCCTCCAACAAATACCAAAATGCTTATGTGCCAGGCACTGTGCTAAGAGCTTAAATATATTATCTCACTTAACTCTCACCACAACCCCATTTTACAAATGAGGAAATCGGGGAACAGAGAAGAGAGGTTAAGTAGCTTGCCCAAACTCACATGACTAGTGTGGAGCCAGTCCTTGAACCTAGGTGTCTGGCACCAGAGTCCTCAGTCATCAATTGCCTGCCTCTCCTACAACATTGTCTAGTTTACTGCAACATCCTTCTGCCTGGTCCTGTTGTCCTCATTCTCTTCTCTCCTTCTATCCATCTTCCACGCTCCTGCCAGCTGTCTTACTTTTTAAAACTAAGCGAACAATTAATTAACTAGCCAAATATTTTCCAATTAAAAGCCTCCATTAGCTCCCTATTACTGACCAACATTAGTTAAAATCTTTGGCCTTTAAATCCTTTCTGAAACAAGGCAGAATATGAGTGAATAAAAAAATTGAATGTACAGTGTTCAAAAACGTGTTAGCTTACATGGAAGGCTGTTGTAATCTGGATCAAACAGACCCATCTACACCATCCCTGCCTCACACTCAGGTGTGTTTCTCCACCCCAAAATCCCATTTCCTTCAACCATCAGCCTCTCTCTCGCCTCTCTGCCTTGGCACGAACTTTCTCTTTGTGGAATGTCCTCTTTCCACAACATTTTAACTGACAGATCTTCTCTTCCTTTGCGATGTAGCTTGAATGTCTTTTCCCAGCTCCCCTGGAGTAACTGGTACAACCTCTGTACACAGATATCGGGCACCCTCGTAGCACGTCCCGTGAGGCATGGCAACTTAACTGTTTATATTTTTGTGACTTCTTCAAGGTTAGAAGCTATGTCTTCCTTAACTCAGTGTCCCTAGCAACTAACATTGTACCTGACATATGGAAGATATTTCTTGAATAAATTGATGGATGGGAAGCAACTGATACAGAAAGAACTTGGGAATGGTTACTAGGCAGCATGGCATGCCTTCTGCCAAAGTTACAGTTTAATCAGTCTTTCTAATTTTCTCCAGATTCTGACCCTGGAACTCACACATCTACTTTAATCTGGAATCAGACATCATAAACTAATCTGCAGTAGAAAATTCAACTCCCTCTCTGCAAATGAATGGTTTTCTTCCCTAGGTGGGCTAGAAAAGTAGGACCCTCTGAGATGTTCTACCAAAATAATTAACTTTTATAATAATTATGCAACAGAATCAGCATTTATTGAGGTCCACTATGAATACCCCAGGGACCATGGCATGCATTTGCATACATAATTGCACTTGATAATAGCAACTCAGTGAAATAAACAGACACATAGGCATTTATCAGATTGTGAAGCTTCTCAAAGGCAGGAGTGACAAAATATATAAAACCTAGAGTGTCTACAACAGATGGTCAACTATCGTTTCATGGTAATATTGATTTAATTTAGAAACATCAAACTCCTACTAGGCACCTACCAGGTGCCAGGTAATATTAACCAAAAGGTGTGGGGATAGGCCGTAGAGAGGCAGTGTGGCATCTCTCGAATAGCACGAGACTGAGAATGGGTTTGAGATTGAATCCTGCAACTTATAATTTACAAACACATCAAAATTTCTTTGAGTTTAGTTACTTTCTCTGTTGAATGAGGGGGATGGACCCAAAAATCTCAAAGGCACCTTCCATGTCTAATGTTCTACTTATCCTATGCGTCTGCCTGGCCACTTAGAAAAACATCTACCACCAGTCAGCTTACACTGAAAGAGAGAATATAAGAATACCAACAATCGCAAATCTCAGCAATTCTGCTGCCTCCATTTATATCTGAATATTTATTTACCTGTTCTTCTAATTGGAAGTTCTTTTCTAAAACGAGAAGCATGTGGTCCCGCAAGGCTGAATGCTCGTGCTGCTGCAGCTTCCCCCGTTTATCCTCCGGTACGAAGAGAAAAGTTAAGTCAGGTTGTTGTTGAAAGGCTCCCAGAACGAGGGCGGCAGTGGGACTCTCTGCTAGAGTGGAACTTTAACAACTTTGCTTATTTATATTGAGGTGGGTTGCAGGAAAAATGGCTCCACCAGTTCCCTTTTCCTGCTTTGGGATTTTACAGTACCCATGAGACAATTTTAAACTTACAGAGACAGAGAATCAGGCTACTATCAAAATGCTCTATGCTGATTTCCTTCCTGGCCTTGGGAATACATGACCGTGGATTAAGAGTGGATAATATTACCTGTCAACTCTTCCCATATAAAACCTGTCTCCTCAGTGGGTTGGCTCCAGATCAGTTGTCAGCCTGGGTTAGTTCTCCCTCCTACCAAGCACATTTTAGGATACCTTCTATCACCGTCCTGCTGTCACTGGCCAAAGGTATGCCACCTAATTGTGATTTCAGCCCATGCAAATTTCTCACCCTCGAAATCAAATAATACATTTGCAACAATAATTGCAAAGCGCCTATATTACTAATAAAAGAAATAGCAGGGGTTCTGGGTGATCCATGGATTCTAAGCAAACATTTATATCATCAATCTCCCTTCTGTTTAGGGTTGGCTCCTGATCCAGAGTAAAACTCCCATCCTCAGCTCTGCTATTGAAGGAAGCTCTAGAATACAGCCCAGTTGGAAGTTTGGGCCTAACTCTAAAGAAGATTCCTTTCAAAGCTGGAAAGTAATTCTGTATTCCATATACTAGAAAGGTAAACCCTATCCCTCTTATAGCAAAGACGATCACTGGTTTGGTATGTGATAAATTTATGGACTCTTCCCTGTTTTTTTTTTTAAAACTTCTCATATTTTTTCAAGTAAGTTTTTAAAATAAGAGAAATATATGCTTATGTAGATACAGAATGAAAGATGTATAATGTAGTATGAAAAGTAAAAGCATGGTTCTCTCCATCACCACACCCCATTCCCTAGTCTCACCTATCAGAGTCGGTGAAGATATATATACATTTTTAATATAATGAGATCATACTATATTTAATTTTTAAAAATATGTACCTTATTCTTTTTAGCAGATGCAAGTATTTCAAAATATGAATATATAATTATATAGTCAGCACTTTAATGAAGGACTTATAATTTGTTTTTAGTTTTTTGTGGGGTTTTTTTGCTATATAAATATCTTTGTGTGCATGTGTGTATACGTGTGTAATCACTGCATACTTATGAAAGGAAATCTGTGAGATAAATTCCTAGCAGAAGTGCAAGGTCAATGTGTGGATTCATTTTTTATTTTCATAGATATAACCAAACTGCCATCAAAAAAGTTGGCTATTATAAGTTGTTTTAATCTTTGTCAATTTGATAGTGCAAATCATATTTCTGGGTATAATTTATATTTAAGTAGGAGTGAGATTTAAGTAGGAGTGTCTTTTCTTATAACTATCAGGCAATTGAATTTTTTCTAGAACTGCTCATATATTCCTTTGCCTATTTTTCTATTAAATTGAATAAGCTATTTATACGTAAAAATTCTTTGCATATTAAGAAAAATAGGCCCTTTTTTGTCTGGTCATATGATGTAGATATACCTTCAATTTGTGGTTTGCCATTTGACTTTATGGTATTTTTATAAATCATATAGAAATTTGAAATATTTACAGTTAAACTTATCAAAAGTAGCTTCTGGTTTTGTGTTTGTCATCTAAGAAAGGCCTTTTTAATTTCAAGGATAAAATAATTCACTCATCTTTTCTTCTAGTACATTTATAATTTTTTAAATAAACTTTTTATTTTGGAGTAATTTTAAATTTACATAAAATGTGAAACAATACAGAGCATTATATATTTTAATGGCTAAAACTTTGATCTATCTGGAATCTGAAAAAAAGGCTGAGGTAGAGATCAAACTTTATTTTCATTTTTTAAAATTTATGTTATACAATATATTGAAAGTTTTAAAGGTATTTAATAGGTAACATAATACATTTTAAAACATGACTTCAATTTGTTTCAAAATCTTTGGGGATAGATAGGGATACCATAAAACCAAAATTCATAATTATTGGAATTATGAATTCCAATTCCAAACTCCAGAAATTTCCAAAACTTGGTAGAGGCAGTAGAGTCAGAATTAGAAATAATCACTGTGATGGTTAATTTTAAGTATCATACTGGTTAGGCTATGGTGCCCAGTCGTTTGGTCAAAACTCATTTAGATGTTGCTATGAAGGTATTTTGTAGATGTGATTAACATTTAAATCAGTCAACTTTAAGTAAAACAGGTTATCCTCTATAACTGGGGTTGGGGGTGGGGGAGGGGGGTGGTGGCTCATCCAACCAGCTGAGGCCTTAAGAACAAAGACTGAGGTTTTCTGAAGGAGAAGCACTTCTCAAGATTACAATAGATCGATGCCAGCCTGAATATCCAGATTGCTGGCCTCGCCTGCAAATTTTAGAGTTCCCAGCCCCTACCATCGCATAAGCAAATTCCTTAAAATCTCTCTCTCTATATATATCTATCTCTCTATCTCTATCTCTGTATTTATACCTATCTCTATCTCAATATATATAACATTTGTATTTATATTCATATAAGTTATATATCTCCTGTTGGTTCTGTTTCTCTGAAGAACCCTGATGAATACAATCGCCAGTCTTAAAGTTCTCATGAGTGTCCTTTTGCATCTTGGATGGAATCAAAGAGTACAAGGAGCTCGCCTAATGAACGGAACAGTAGGATGTAGAGGGAGAAACAAAAAGGCACTCCATACCTTTACAGTACAGCCATAGTGCTTAAAAGGACAGTCTTGTTTCGCTTCAGGACACACAGCAAGGTGTTCATCGACCTGCAAAATGGACAGCTTCATGCTACAGAAATTCATCACGGATTCTCCGACTGCCTGGCGTAACTGCAGCCAGCAGGGAGCCAAGGGGGGCTTGGGAAGAAGGGTGGGAACAGAAGGAAGAGGCCATGCTAAGGCCTGGAGGAGGGAGCACTATGTTGAAAACTGAGAAGAATTCTCAGGGAAAAGGGAAGACAGAAGCATGGTTATCATGGGTGTCATGTAAGCCTTGGGCCTCTGCCTATGTGATTTTATCAGATACGCTCCATCTTGATTACTAAAATTTTGTCTTACATAAATAAAATCTACTGAGAGAAATTTTATGTAAATTACCTCAGTTCTTGAAATAATCTGCAAACACTTGTTGGGACAAGACACTGGGTACTCAGGACACAAGTTTTCCTCATGATTCTGAAACAGAGACAATGTGATGAAACAAAGCCCCCCTTGCTTCCAAAGGCTCCCTTGTACGGCCTCAGAGTGTTTATACACATGTCCCTTTGGGGATCCCTGTTATGTGGGTTGCCCTCTACAGGAAGGTATGGCCTAGTTCCAGAAAGGATTATAGGTGCCCACTTTCTTGGTATAAATGAATGCAATTTAATTCAGTTTTCCAATTATTCCAAAAGAAGGTCAGAGGGCACAGGACTCATAGCGGGACATCATCAGCATGGCTCCATCAGCACATGTAAAAGGCGCCGGGGCTCTCTGCCTACACCTGCGCACGCCCTGCCCAAGCCCCGCCCACTCCCTGCCTCTGTAGTTAGATCGCAGCATCCTGAGGGCAGACAGTATCATTACGAATTTATGACCCAGGACTAGCATCACTCCTTGCACACTCACTCAGCAGGAGCTCGAACGATATTTTTGCCAACGATAAATAGAGTCCTACCAACAAGAAAGTTTTTAGTGTTTTTGCAGAACTTCTCTCAGATAAAGTTATTCTCTAGACCTATTTCTTTCTGCACAAAAGAAATGCAGATATGTGGATCTGGTATCCCATCTGATTCACTGTGACCACTCAGGTGGAATTTAGCCCCATAAAGATGATTCCTTTCCTTTTATTTTTTTACCTGTAGATTGATTACTACCACATCCTTTTTGCAGTAAAGGCATTTTTCCTCGCGAAACTGGCAGTCTGCACTCAAATGCTCTTTCAGATCTTTCCGAAGGACTGGTTCCCGACAGTTCTCATTAGAACACTGCACAGCTTGAAATAAGCATTGCTGAAGGTGGTCCTGCAACAGATAACAACAGGCCATGGGGACGCTGACCAGGACAGCAGAAAGGGAGGGGGCTGGAAGGCCTAGCAAGGGAGGGAGGACACCGTGGGAATCCAGGAGAAAGGACCGCGAGCGTGGTCGGCCCGGAGGGCGGCCTCTGCCTGCAGTCTCTCAGTGGAGGCCACCCTCTACCTCTGCTGAGGCTGGGGTGTGGCGAGGGCTGCTTGGACATGAGCTGTGAAAGCCAACCTTGCTTGGTGGGAGTTAGGAGGACAGAGGAAGACGGGGGAAGAAGGGATTTTGCTGAGTTGATTTTAGATTATCTAGGAATGTGCTCATGTTCTCAAGTTAGTTCTTGAGTATTTTCCTTAGGCTTGCCAATGAATTTACCAGTTCTTCAAGGATATTTTTTATTTCTTTTGTGCACACTCCATCCCCACTTCCAACACCAAGTACTAATCTCTATGCAGCAGATGGTAAAAGCCGGGACAAGGGGGAAAAGTGGGAAGACAAGGAGGGCCCATCCTAAGTACACGAAGGAAGAGAAAGAGTTAAAGGAATAAAAGGGAAGGAGAAGAAGCTGTTTCAGAAGTGGTCAAGGAAAGAAGGTTGAGAAAATATAGGAGCTCAGGCCCAAGAGAAGCTGGGAAATGACAGTGTTGTAAAGTGAGGAGATGTTTTTAACCAGAATATGAGAATAATGACAGGGACAGTGTTCATTCCAGTGGTCTTCCCATTAGATATTTGTAAAAGCAGGTATATTTTAATAAAATCTTTGGATTACTGCAAGTTACTGTGATGCTGAGAAGTTAGCAAAAGCCTAATGATCTTGTCTCTTGCAAGATCCTTTAAAACAGGTTGACAAGCCCTTGGGCCAAACATGGCCTGCTGCTTGTTTTTGTCAATAAAGTTTTATTGGAGAACAACCACATACCTATTTGTTCACATATGGTCTATGGCTGCTTTTCCTCTAAAACGGAAAAGTTGAGTAGTGTAACAGTGGCTATATGGCCTGCAAAGCCTAAAATATTTACTATCTGGCTCTTGACAGAAACAGTTTGCTGACCTCTTCTCTGAAGGGAGAACAAAACGTTTTTCTATAGGAGATAAATAAAAGTGTAGCTATTTACCTTTGCCTCTGCTAGTAAGAAACAAATAACGATGACAACTAAAATCCGTATCTTATCCAAAATTCGTTGTTACCCCTCAACTCTCACCCAAATCGTCAACATTCATCAAGATTTTGTTATTTGTGAGATCCTATACCTTATCACTTTGGGTGGGGAGAACAGAGAATGAGGGAAAATACAAAAGAAAGAGATGAAAAGAAACCAGCCACGGTCCTCTAGAGGCTGATGATCTGGTCACTAAAGCTGATCAACAGTCCATTTGAGCCTCATTTCCTTTTCGGGCTTAGTGACAACTACAATCAAATTGGAAAAGAGGCCCTGCTCTAGGATTCAACTATCAAAGTGAGTGGCCAGGGACTGTCTAGGAAAACACACAAAAAATTCTGTGAACCTCCAAAGAACTCCCTGAATTAACAACAAAATCATTTACACATGTGTAAACTCAGCGCCTGGGGGTCTGGAGGTGGTGATGGATGGAGAAAAGACTGAATCACCTGAAATCCGTTCCTAAAAGGGAGGGTGAAATCTCAGCAGCCTCCAAACAATTCCCTGGAAGCTTGAGATGCCTGAGTCTTACTCGTTTATAGTGTCATCGAACCTGATATGGGCTTGACATGGCAGAACCACATTTCCAGCTTTGAATTTAACAAGCTTCCCCAGCAGGTAGGACAGCTCGTTAGAGAGGAAATCAACTCCCCTTTACTTCCCTTGCGCCTCATTTGTTTGCATCTCATACCAATGCTTCGTCTTTAAACTCCATCCAATTTCTGTTCTGATCTGTTATCTGCCTTAGATCATAAACCCTAAGCAGGCAGGGCCCATGGCAGCTGTGAAACACCCATCCCAGCACCTGCAAATGCTTTTGGGCAGTCATACCTTGGTCCCCACCCTAGGAACTCTAATCCAGCACATTCCCCCAAAATGACATTTTCTGGCTTGAGTGTTCCTTTTGCCCAGAATGTCTCATATCTTCACTTTTGTATCAATGTCCCTAACCCATAAGTTAATGTCTAGCACACATAGCACGTCCTCCATGCATTCCAGACAGCACAAACCTCTTCACTCATACCTTGGCATGCTACACTGTAACATTACTAGAGAGGAAATCTCTGAGAGCAACCCAAGGAACCTCCCCTCCCCCACGCTTAGCTCAGTAACTGTCACAAAAAGGTGTTCGATACACGTCACTGGAGAAAATGGCAAGGGCGAAATATTGTTCATAATACCAACCTGGTATCGTCCCAGAATAATCTTGGCATTACATCCAGGAGCATTTTTGCAATATACATATAAATTGAGGACTTCTCTTTTGCAGCAATTGTCTTTAAAAACCTAAAAGATAAACACGATAGGTCTCACACATTCCAAAGCTTTAGAGCAACGCGAATGACTCTATTACTAATTTGGTCTTCTCAAAAGTCAAGCGGAAACTTCCAGGCAATGGTTGGAATGGAAACACCAGATTTGCCACCACAAAAGAAAAAGCTGTTTCAGATACATCCTTCTGACAGGCCACCAAACATACAAGCCAGGTAATTCAATGCCCAGAGCAGTAGGCTGCAGCTAGGAGCATCTCGTGGTGAACTTGACCCCACATGCTCAAAGGTCAGGAGGTGGGGCTGTGACTTAGGCGATGCTTTCGGCTTCCTGTCCCAGCAGAAAGGTTTGTATTAGTCATCAGGTAGTGTCACTGAAGCTGTGCTGACTGGCTTTTTCAGCACAAACCAGGGGTTGGCAAACTTTCTCTATAAAAGGTCAGAGAGTAAATATTTCGGGCTCTGCAGGCCACATTGCGACAGTCTCTGTTGCACCTATGCAGCTCTGCCATACACAATACTTGAATGAATGAATGGGCATGGCCGTGTTCCAATAAAATATTATTTATGAACACTGAAATCTGGATTTCATATAATTTTCACATGTCACAAAACATTATGCTTACTTGGATTTCTTAGTTTAAGACTCACAGGTAGTTGGAAAAACAGTACAGAGTTCCGTGTACCCTTCTTTTGATTTCTTTCAATGATTTAAAAATATAAAAACCATTCTTAGCTCACAGGTCATAGAAAAACAGGTGGCAGGCTAGATTTGTCCCAACAAATCTCATGTTGTAGTATGCCAACCCCTGGCTTAGGGGGTGAGGCAGACGCAAGTACAGCACTATACTCTGCTAGGCATTTGCAAAACACATCATGAGAGCATAGGGAGGAGTGTGTACATCAGACAGGTGCTCAGGTTGCTTCCTGAAGGACGTGATGCTTGAATGTCCTGTATCAGAATTTAAAAAAAAGAAAACTGAGCTTAAAGGGAAGTTTTAAGGGAGAAAATCTTCAAGAACATGGGTTAGGTAAAGATTTCTTAGACACAACACTAAAAGAACAAGCGACCAAATGAACAAAAGATAAATTAGACTTCATCAAAATGAAACACTTTTGTGCTTTCAAAGGACACCATCGCGAAAATGAAAAGACTGAATGGGAGAAAACTATTTACAAATCATCTATCTGATATCCAGAATATATAAAAAAAACTCTTCTAACTCAACAATACAAGACAAATAATCCACTTAAAAAATAGGCAAGGGACTTGAATAGGCATTTTTACAGAGAAGCACACGAAAAGATGCTCAGTATCACTAATCATTAGAGAAATGCAAGTCAAAACCACAAGATACCTCTTAATACCTACTAAGAAGGCTGTAATAAAAAAGATGGACAATAACAAATTTTGGCCAGGATCTGGAGAAATTAGAACTCTCATACAATGCTGATAGGAATGTAAAATGGTGCAGCTCCTTTGGAAAATAGTCTAGCAGCTTCTTAGAATGTTAAACACAGAGTTACCGTTTGATCCACTAATTCCACTCCTAGGTACACACGTGTACATTTTAAAGGTAAATTTTATGGCATCTGAATTATATCTCGACAAGGCTACTATTAGACATAATAATAATAATAAAAGGAAGTTTCAGAGATTAACCAGATGAGAAAGAATTCCAGGAAACAGGATGTTCCATTTCTGCAAGTCACTCAGTGTCACTGGAGCTAGTGTAAGAAGTGGGTAAGGAAGAAGGGGGAGAAATGTGGGGCGTTAATAGAGACCCAAACGAGACTCTGGAACAGCGGAAGGAGTGAGGTCTGATTCGACCCTTCAGCAGAGGAATACGGACGCCCCCAGTGTCCCCCCCCCAACTCTCCTGTTCCGACCTCCATGCCCAGTCAGGACACTGGCTTCTCCATCACCTAGAGAGCTGCTAAACCAAAGCACTGATTTTCTTACCTCCTGAGATTTGATAACTTCCTTATCTACAGGGCAGAGTGGCACTGCATGTAATTCTCTGGAGAGAAAAGTAAAAATAGAGCCAGAATTAAGAGGTGATCTCAATGGCTCATCCAAGAGCAGCCCCAGCACTCCAGCCATGCTCCACCCTTTGAACTGCCCCTGCCCAGGAGGCATGTCTTTGCTCATGCTGTTCCCTCCCCCGAGAAAACAGTCCCCACACCCCAATTTCAGCACCTCTCCTGTCTGCCTGAAAAACCCCCATTCATCCTCCAGGATGCAAGTCAAATACTGAGTCCCCCAGACACGGTTAAATGCCCTCTGCCAGTTCTCCCACAGCAGTCCTTAGCTTATCACACTGTACCACAATCCATCTCCTTCACTAGACTGGAACGTTCTAGAAGGCAGAGACTGTCTCCCGTTCCATGCTGGACCTCTAGCTCTTTACTTTTGGACAATAGAGCTTAGTTTGGCAAGATGCCTGGAACGCACAGGTGCTGAATGAATAAACCCACGAATGAATGAGAATGTGTTGTAATAATCCTCTTTTCAAGCTAATCGATGTAATCAACTGATCTTCCTTACTGCTCCTTATAAGCCCCAAACACCTGGTCTCCTCCCTCAACAGGGCATGACCTAAGTTTTATAGCTGCCTGGGAGTGGACGACATCCATGGCAGCAAGGTCTCTTCCTGGGGGGTGCAACACCTCCTCTGCCTTGAGGCAAGGCAAGGTCAGTGCCACCACAGCAAAGACCCTCGGGAGACACGGGTCTTTCCCAACACACACTATGCTTCTGGGTTCGCCCTCACATGCAGGACTGGCATGGTCTGAATTTTAAGAAAAGGTGAACATTGGTAAGTGAGGGGCATAAAATGAAGATTACTCCTCACACTCTCACAGAAGGGCCCTGGTCCCCCGCCCCGCCCCCATCCCCTCACAGCCATTACAGTTGAGTGGCCACAGATGACATTCAGATCCCAGGACACCTCTGCTGGTTCCGGCCTGCGAGAGCCCGAGCTGCAGACCCTGCCAACTCACCTCAGAGACAGAATGCAGTGCTGGCAGAAGCGGTGCCCACACCCCGTCTGGTGGGGGTTGTGAAGCACTGAGTGACAGAAGGCACATTTGTAGCGCTCTTCTAATTGCTCCACAAACTGGTACTCTGTGTTGGGCTCAAAGTCCAAAGAAATGGAGTTGCCGGAATTCTGGCGGATGAAACCACAGGGAATACCTCCTTGCTCCTCAGAATAGGCCATTCTGGGGGTAGAGGGGGGGGAGGTCAGGAGAACAGAAAGAAAATTAAGTGCGCGAATACCAAAACAACTACAGCCACTGAGTGTTTCAATTATTGAATACAACCCACAAGGTCACTCTGTTGACTCTGTAACAGCAGTAACAACCTCCTGTCATTAGAGGGCTCCTGCAGGGAGGAGACCTTTGGGAGCTCAGGGGGAGGTTGGATCAGGTGACTTCTAGCAAGATTCTCTGAGACTTCGGCCCTTTGTCCATCAACTTTTTTACAGGATGTTATCCAGGCCACATGTTTGGACAAAATACAGCCAGGTGTTAACTACATTCTAAGCAAAGGTTTGTTATGGATTTTCTTCTGCTCAGTTGAGAAAATCGAAACAAATGTTTTGTTAACATTTTCAGAAGCAAGAACCTTGCACACCGATACATTTCTTGAAGTTAACAGCCAAGTCCTCATCTAATGTTGTGGCTAGGTTCTTGGAACAGCGCAAAATGATGCATAATAAAACCAATTTTACCATAGACTGATAAAAACAAGCATTAAATTCCTACGGCATTCCATCAACGTTATAAGGAAATGACATTGAACAAAAAAAGTTATTCGAGGACCTGCTGTATGTAGATAAAGCACTACTATTAACCCACATCATTTCTCACATGAACTAAATAAGGGCCCATTAAATCTGTTCCCCTCTAATCCATTCTCCACACGATAGCCAGGTGATATTTCCAAGATGGAAGTATGATTAACGGTTACCTCTTCTCATTGTTCAGTGACTTCCCAGGGAAAAGTCCATAACGCTGAGCAGACGACAAGACTGCATCCTCCCCGCCCGGCAGCATCCTGGACCCGACCCCTGCCCCTTGCTTCCTGCATTCCAGCCACGCAGGCTTTCTTTCAGGTCTTCTAATACACCATGCTCTCTCCTGCCACAGGGCCTTTGCATGAGCTGTTGCCGCTGGCTAGACTGCTTCCCCCATCCCCTTCTAGTCCCCTTCACTTAGTTAACTTACATTCATGCTTCAGATTTCATTGTAAGCTTGCTCTTCTCCCCTGGTCTAACAGTAGGAGGCCTATCCATCAGCCTGGAGAACATGTATGGCCTCCAGGGAGTGGCTAGGGGATTAGGGTGGGTGGGGGAGGGGGGTTTCACTGAATAATCCTTCTGAATTTTTGAACATGAATGTATTATGTATTTATTCAAAAATAAATATAGAAAAATAGAAACTAAATATCCACTGTTATATCTATCACAGGACCAGATTCACTTCCTCCAGAACAACACTTGATTTGAAATTGGACCTGTGTTTGTGAGATTACTTGATTTTTATCTCTGTTCCTCAACCACACACAGATTGCATCTGCTCTTGCTCACTGTTGCCTCTCCAGCTCTGAGCACTAAGCCAGGCATGGAGAACAACTCAGCTACCTGTTGAATTGATGTTATTAAATGGACTTTGAAAAACCCTCAACAGAGCAACTGTAATGAGCATTGGCCTCTAACATAGTGATTCTTAATGATTTTTGAGCAAGGACTTCCCCTGCCTTCGAAAATTTGATGAAAGCTCTAGACCTTCTCCCTGTAAAAGAGCTTACACACTTGAAGTTTGAACCTTTAGGGACCCTTTGAACCCGCCAGCAGTTCCCAGGTTCCCAGCTGCCCTGCCTCCTAGCAGGAATTATTACATTTGGCACAGTGCCAGCCAGTGTCCAGCAAATGACTAATGGATGGGAGGCCTTCTGGGGTGGTCCCTGGGGGTGATCTCCTTCCACACGACTGGGGTACAGGAAGGCTTAGCCTCAGGCTTGATTGCTTTGGCTTGCTCTTGGGGTTCCCTCATGATTCTCCTGCAGCTGACGAGGTCAACTGTGCCCAGGAGCAGCTGCGTACTTGACCTCATAGGCGGCCCCATTCAACCCTCAGCTTTCCTCAAGTCAGCAGCTGGCCTCTCTCACTGCTGCAGTGGTCTGAGTCTGGGGTGTGGCCTGGGTGACCGGAGCACAGAAAGCAACTGGCTTCCTTTAGCAAATAAAGCTTTCTCTCTGGAAGAGTCCCCCAGACAAGGGGACTTTTTTTCTCTTTTGTCCTTGGGTTTGAGAAAAAAGCCCCACCTTTTCCTCTCTGCATGTGTCTCCTGCAGAACTTCAAAGGTGGTAGGTGAGCAGTACAAGATGTAATTGTCTCCCTTGTAACATGGTTTACTCTAGAGATTTAACAAGTTTGAGTTATACAGACGAAGAGGCATGGCACTTGAGTTACACAACCCTGATAACCAAGACCCGCCTTTCTCTCAGAGAAGCGGAAGACCAATGCCAAACTGCCTTAATCTGCCCTGTGTTCTCTAATCCCAAGGGAGGTTGACAATTCATGTCCTGTGCCTCTCTAGGATTTGCTCTTGAGACCAGGTTCATGTCTGTGTCACACGGCAACTAAATTTGGATTCAGAGATATACCCTGAAGCAATGAGCTGGGTTGGCCCCCAGAGCAGCAGGATGTACGAAACTTGGCTCTTTTCCACTATTATGCTACCCTCTTTCCTAGCATAAGAATTTAACGCACTGATCTGTGTGTCTGTCCATCTTTCTCTAAAACAGTTCTCAAACATTTTGGTCTCAGGAACCCCCTTTAGATTCTTAAAAATTGAAGACCCAAGGACCCAGAAGAGCCAACAAATATCGAAGGAGTAGAACAAAATTGGAGGATTGATACTACCTGACTTTAAGACTTACTAGAAAGCTGTCGTAATTAAGACAGTATGTGGTATTGGTGAAAGAGCGGACAAGTAGATGGATGGGACAGAAGAGAGAACCCACATAAGTACAGTCAATGGACCTTTGACAAAGGAGCAAAGGAAATACAATAGAGCAAAGATAGTATTTTCACAGATGGTGTTGGAACAACTGAACCAACACGCAAAGAAACGGACCTAGACACAGATTTTATGCCCTTCACAAAAATTAACTCAAAATGGATTATAGACCTAAATGTAAAACACAGAACTATTAAACTCTTAGAAAATCACAAAGGAGATAATTCAGATACCTTTGGTTTGGCGATGACTTTTTAGATACAACAGCAAAAGCACAATCTATGAAAGAAAGCATTGATAAGCTGCGCTTCATTCAAATTAAAAATTTCTGCCCTGAGAAAGATATGGTCAAGAGAATGAGAAGATATGTCACAGATGGAGAGAAAATTTTTGCCAGCTATACATCTGATAAAGGACTATTAGCCAAAATACGTCTCACCAAAGAAGATATACAGATGGCAAATAAGCACATGAAAAGGTGCTCCACATCAGATGTCATCAGAGAAATGCAAATTAAAACAATAATGAGGTCTCACTATATACCTATTAGAAGGGCCCAAATCCAGAACACTGACAGCATCAACTACGGTGAAGATGGGGAGCAACGGGTATTCTTAGGCGTTGCTGGTAGCGATGTAACAATTCGGAAGGCAATTTGGCAGTTTCTTACAAATCCAAACATACTCTTACCATCTGATTCAGCAATCGCGCTCCTTGGTATCTACCCAAGAGAACTGGAAATGTTATGTCCACATTAAACTCTCCACATGAACGTTTATTGGAGCTTTATTCATAATTGTTAAAACTGAGAAGCAATCAAGATGTCCTCCAATAGACGAATGGATAAACTGTGGTATATCCAGACAATGGAATACTATTCAGTCTTAAAAAGAAATGAGCTATCAAGCCAAGAAAAGACATGGAGGAACCTTAAATGCACATTACTAAATGAAAGAAGCCAATCCGAAAAGGTTATATATTGTATTATGCCAACTAGATGGCATTTTGGAAAAGGCAAAACTATGGAGGCAGTAAAAAGATTAGTGGTTGACGGGTAGAAGGGTGGGAGAGATGAATAGGTGGATCACAGAGGATTTTTAGGGCAGCGAAACTACTCTGTATGATGCCATAATGACAGATACATGTCATTATACATTTGTCCAAAACCATAGAATGCAAGAATGAATCTTAATGTAAACTCTGGACTTTGTATCGAATAAAGGATACTGTTACAGTGTCACCATCAGGAAGCTTCTGTTGAACACTGTACATTCATGAAAGGAGGAGAGCAAAAATGGCAAGTGATATCTTAGTATTATCATGAAGGTCATTTTACCATGCAGATCCCCTGAAAGGGCCTCAGGGAGCCCCGGGCAATGGTGTGGCGGTAAATGTTTAACAACCTGCTTTCCTGGGGGAAAAGCTACAGTCTGTAAAACCTGCCACTTTCTGCGCCTAAATAAACCTGAGCTAAGCAGGAGCCCAAGAGCTGCCCTCCCCATCCAAGCTGCCCGGACACCCCGGGACCCTGAAGCGCACTTTGGGAACCACTGCTCTATCAGGCTGCTAGTGGGCGTGGGTCTCGTCAGTCTTTGTAGTGACAGGGCCCATCACGTGTGTGACCCTCACGGACAGTCTCCTGCTCTTGCTGAATGGCCAGCCGAGGCCCGAGGACCAGACGCCCGTCCTCCCTCTCCCTTCCACTGCGTGTCTTGCCCGGCCCTAGTCAGCACGCCTGTCATCCGCTGACCTTGCGCACGCTCTCATCCGCTGTCTTGTCCAGTGTTTGTTTTTATCTCATTAGACATTTAAAAAGTAAGCATTTTTGTTCTGCTATACAATATGGACTTTAGGTGCTTCAGGGCAGTGTTTGGTGTATAAACCGAGCTACACAGGCTCTGTCCGCTCCCTCTGAAGTTCTTCAGGCCTGTGACCCAGCTCCAAAAATGGAATCGATTCACTTTGCTCACTGACATAAAGGAGCGCCAATAATAGAACTATAAGGGCTGACATTTCTTTGTCTAACAAATACATTTCTCTAATTAATTCAACATTTGCGGCTGGTACCCTGTCATTCCCAGGCAGTTATTTAGTGGAAATGCACAAGAGTTCCATTTCTCCTTTGGGTATAACAGCTTATGTAATAGGAACAGCAAAAGAGTTCAGTGCTTGCAAATCAAAAATAAAGCCGTCGTGATGACTAGCAGAGCTTGTGAGTC